AGATTCGATCGAAAATATCGCTTGAAAAATGGGTATGAAAATCCCCATGTTAAACCAACGGGGAAAAACAAGGTAGAAAAATTTTGTTCCCCCGCGAACTGCATCATGGGAAATATTTTGACCTTATAAGGAAAAACTTTCGCGCCATCTTTATTAGAGATTCAATACTACCGAATCCGCGATTTTAAGAATTATGTCATGAGAGGCGATATCGTTGAAAAAAGCACACAAAAACATTTGTGCTTGGAAAAACAGCTTCTTTCAAACTGAAATAGGTCACTTTTGTCCTATTTTACATTTTGGCATGCTTTTTTTAATTTGACAATACTCGCATATTGTAGCCGATCCCTTTCATATTGATACAGAGTGACCCCAAAATTTAGCGTCTCCCCCACGTTTTAGAGTCATTTGAAATGTCCACTTTCTTTAAGTGTTAATTCATCATAATTGTAGAAAATGGATTTTAAGAATTCATAACTCTCCGATGCGCGATGTAACCTCCTGAATATGTTAAACCTATATTTATCACATTTTAGTTTCATTTTGTATATAAATCTTTTGATTGAAAAGTTAGATAAGGTCCATGTTAACAGGCAGTGTTTCTCATGATTGAGTTAACATTGTTTCTATTTCAAACATCACTCAAGGAATTTAGATAATCAGGTTATACTACTAAATACAATACGTTGATTAAGTTGCACTTGAGATAACCTTTGACAATAAAATAGTTTATGTATCAGGGTGTGCCAAAATAAAAATATCAAAAGCTGGATTTCTGTATCGCGACAGGCTGTTTACGACCTGATACACATGCTTTAGTACTCATGCACTTATAGAGCCAACAAAAAGTTCCGAATGCAAGCCAAATGTCCTGTTTAATAACCCCTATTCTTATTATTGAAAATGGATTCCAATAATACTATTCCACATGAATCTACTTGTTGCGACTCGATCAATTTGATTTCTGAGAAAATGGGGATTTCAGCAAGGGATATAAATGATGACATACAGGTTTAAAGTCAATTGTATCCCCATGTTAAGTCAATACACCCTATAATAATTTGATTCACATATACATTGTATATACATGTAAAAATACTCATGTAATAATTATTTCTATATAATTTATTTAATTATCTATTATTCAAATAAAATAGATCGCATATATTCTATCAATCATCTGGGGCTACCCAACTTTGTAAGGAAGAAGCAACTATCTAAAAGGGGAGAAGTGTTACGTATACGCTAGATCATTGTCTCGGATGCTGGTGTTTGTTTCCTTATAGCTGGATGTACTCTTTCAATGTTTTCATGGCCACTTTGGTTCACAAATTATGTTCCCCAAGACCAGTCGTGTGAATATTTGGTACTCAAGTTCAGAATTGAGTAAGCTTTACTATGGTATATTGATTATAGAACCATATGATCTAAATTTGACTGTGAATGGGGTTAGTCATTATGAAACACCCTGTAGAAAGACTCGCTGACAAAATTAAGCGATATTAGTGTTATCATACACAGGGGCGGATCTGGGAACCAACAAGGGGGGGGGGGCCCAAATCTTAGGTCAGAGAAAAAACGGGCCGCGCTTGCGCGGAAAAAAATTTTGGGCCCCTAAAAGGCAAAAGTGGGCCCAAATTTTGAAATTTTGAGGCCCATTTTCTTCAAAATTTGGCCTGAATTTAAAAAATAAGGCCTTAAAAGGCCCAGTAATGACCAAAAAGGCCGACTTTTTGGGGCCTTGAGGACTTTTTTGGCCCCAAAATTTTTTTTGGGCCCAATTTTTTTTTCTGGGCCCACCCAAGGGGGGGGGGGGCCCGGGCCCCCACCCCCCCCCCCCCCTAATCCGCCAGTGATACATGTACAGGGTGTCTCAAAAATGTACCCAAAAGTATAAACAGCATAGACAAACCAATCAATATTTTCAGACATTTTTTGCATGGTCGTATAGCCAAAGCATGGACGTTTTCTCCTCAATACACAGTCTTTAGTCCAGTCTTGCCCTTTTGATGCTTTGACCCTTCTTTACAGTTCGCGGATGAGGACAGCAGAACAATCACAGATATAGGCAGGTCAATTATTAAGAGTTCTACCTTCCATAGTTATACAGGCTAGTTTGGAGACCAAATGATATCCGAATGAGAACAGAGTCATTTCAAAAAGATCGAGACCCTCCACACACAGCAAGGGGCACACGAGAATTCCTACAAATGCAGTTTCTTGAATGTCTCATCTCTCTGTATAAAGACATTGTGAGGACCTCCCTATTCATAAGATTCGACGCCCCAGACTTTTTTCTCTGAGGTTATTTGAAGGACCATGTTCATGTCAATCTCAAGCCAAGAACCCTGGGCCTAGAACAGCTTCAGGCCAACATCCAAAAGGTAAACCACATTATGCCAAGAGACCTAGAACCCTGGGCCTAGAACAGCTTCATGCCAACATCCATAGAGTAATCCAAATTATGCCAATAGACCTAGAACCCTGAGCCTAGAACAGCTTCAGGTCGACATCCAAAAAGTAATCCAAATTATGAAATATGATTAACAATATAAAAGTAATGAAGCAGCTTATGGGTTTGAATACTAGGAGGCTACATTATCATGTGATGCAAAAAGGGTTAAAGCATCAAAAAGGCAAGAATGAACTAAAAGCTGTGTAAGTATTGGGAAAACTTATGCTTTGGCTACGGGAACATGCAAAAAATGTCTGAAAATATAAATCGGTTTACCTGTACTATTGATATACTTTTGGGTTCATTTTTGAAACACAATATATAACTTGTTTGATTATATTTCTCAAATATTCGAATTTCCCAACATTTTTATGGAAATCATATTATTTTCTTAAAACTATTGGAAAGATTTAGTAAATGCGACATTAGTTGATTTATTGACCACTCCCTTGCCTAAATTACAGTTAATCTCGAAAAGATGCATCATTAATTCGTCTGACTACCCGTTTTTATTTTGTTTTTTCTGGTGGGGGGGGGGGGTTCTAAGATAAACGAAGTTCATCAGTCTACTGCACGCGCGTTACGCCTGCTTTGGACAATTTGATATTTTTACATATTGTAGATTTAAATGTCCTCTTTTGAATATCTATAATTTGATTTGGGTGATATTTCTATATTTTTCATGAAAAATCATATATTACTGCAGTACACTGATGAACTTCTTTCTCCAAATGGAGTCATGTCTTTTATTGAATCGGTCTTGATATTTTTACATCTCGCAGATTTAAATGTCTTCTTGAGATTATTGATTTGATTTTGGTGATATTTCTATATTTATTTCATAAGAAGTCCAGGAGACTGATCTCCAAACCGAGACTTGTCCTTTTATGTAAACTCCCAAAATGCGATAAGATTTTCGACGCTGTGTCGGCGCTGAAACTGCGCCAAATTAACTGATTTGTACGGCGCAATCTAGGCTTTCCCATTTTCCCGACTGAGCTCCTACACAACCTGGTTATCCAGCTTGCTATACCTTATAAAAAGAAAGGGAATGATATGTGTGAAGGAGAATGGGTATAGAAATGTTTCATTATTATATCACTAACACTATTCTATTCTATTCTATACACTTCACTATTCTATAAAAGTGTCACTAAGTCTAATGTTAAAAATATATAGCCATTTTAAAAACATTTATCTTACAATTGTTTTTAAACATTACAATATTTTCATAATCGTCTGAGTAAACGTTTTTATCTTGTGATTGTTGATAGACGTCAGCACATTCACAATATAATTATATATTACCTCTCAAAAGTTGTCTTTGTTGAATGTATTTGTCCGTGTGGTGTTTCGATATCGATACTGAAAAATGTCAGTTTACAACTATAGTTGCAACCTCAGGGCTTATTTATCCCCACTGACAATGGTCCCTTGAAATGTAGCCAAAAACTGGCCCTGATTAATAATCAAGTTTTTGGGCCCCAAGATTTTGTCAAAATTTGGGCCCCCCTTTCTTAATTTCTGGATCCGCCCCTGTAGCCCTAAGAAACGTATCCCTGTTGCGGCTCGTTTTTTCAACACTACAATAAAAATCATAAAAAACTGATTCAATTTTGATTCCAGTATTTATTGTATAGCGTTACAAAAGACAAAGAACAAGAATGGTATTTAGTTCCTGCAGAAAGGCGCCTCATCATTAGTATCCAGGTAGAATTTGCCTCTACCGGGAGAGTTGGTGGATTTCCAGCCCATAAACTGGCAAGAACTTCCCGGAACACATCGGTTGCATAAACCCTGAAACGCAAATTTGAGTCTGGTGTAAATCGGGCCATCTCATTAAAGTCAATTAAAAATGTGCACGTAAATGATTAAAATATGACCTAAACAACACAAAAGGTGATTCGTGAAACACAATTCCCAATAAAATAAAAGTAGAAATTCTAACAAATTAAATGACGGATCGAGCTGTCTCATACAGCTATCATATCACAATTTACAACACATCACATCATAACATAGCAAATATAACGATAATACTCACGTCCTCTCCATCATCTATATCTTGACAGGGGTTTGATGTAAACTGACAGCCAGAATTGATGGATTCTGTGAAATACATGTAGGCTCTGGCGTGACTGCAGGCTACCCACGCATCGACGTCTAAAAGTAGGAATGATTTGTGTTATAATGAAAAATGCAGTTCAGGAACATCGAGTTTGGAAATTCTTGAAAGGTGCCTGGAGTCCCGATGTCGCTGATACATTGGTTCTTCTTTTCCATTTTCTTTATGATCCATGTTGACTAAAACCCCATGAATACGGTTTATACAGTACTTAATTAATAAATAATAATTGTGCCACTGTGTAAATCCAACAATGGATATGAGACGAATATTACTGTGGACACATATCTTTATACACCATTTGTGGTCTGACCATAAGGATAGTCCACAATTTGGTACAGTCCAGAATGTGTTCTTTGGGAAGAACTAATCAATGCAAATTGTCGAGAATATTCACCTTGTCTTTTGGCGCGATTATCGTGTACGTTGTATGTAAGTCCGCACCCTGGTTGTGCGCCACCTCCGTTGGGATAGAAATCAACGTGGCCACTAGGTGTTCCAATGCCTACAAAATGATAGATACCATAGTAGCATATATGCCAATGAATGCTTTCATTTGTGGGTTGTAATATGATAACGATTATGTAAGTAGGGTTCCTAATTAGTTGTAAAACGTTTCTGTGCTATAACGCACAGCTGAAAGGAAAAGGACCAAAAACTGTAAAGAAACCCAGCAAGAAAAGTATTCAAATTCCAACCGTAACCTGTCATAAGAACAATAGAGTATCCAAAAACCATGACCTAACGTGAAAAGAAATAATGCCTAACATCCCCCTTTCCCTCCAAACGAGAGTCAATATCACAATCCAGGACCACAACACCAAGGCACATTTTCATACTGAAGCCAATACAAAACATGTTGAAGAAAAATTGAAAGCCAATACTCATAACGTCAAACAAAGTTGTAGATACTAGTATTCATAAAGGGTGGAGCATTCAGTCTAAAATGATGTGGGATAGATGAAATACCCGGGGCTTAGTTGTATGCCAAACGAAACGAAAAACGGCACGACATCCGGGGCTTTGTTTGGTCTTCATTAGACAATATACATGTATAGAGGGGTAGGTTTTCTTTACTTCCTGCGAAAGCTATTTGGATTTTGATATAATAGCTTTCCCACGGAGCATTTGGACAGCTCAATGATCGTGACCTTTGAAATCGAATTAAGTCGATCCGCGGCTTACTTTTGGTCTCTAACTGTGTCTTGCATCAGTATCATCAATCCGTGTAAGTATTGGAGCGCTGGAGTACTTCTTTTTCGATCAAGACTTGTAATTGTTAGTCGAGTGAATCGTTTTACTGCCAAATTCCAATATGGCGGTTTCTGCTCGGACATTTTCGTAAATCTCCGGAGGTTGTCCGAACCTAACTAATTCTCAAAATTTCGTTCGTTGCGTATCTCGCATCTAGCAAACCGCCATATTGGAAATAGGTCTGTAAAACTTTAACTCGATGAACAATTTACAAGTCTTGATCGAAAAAGAAGTACTCCAGCGCTCCAATACTTACACGGATTGATGTAAGACACAGTTAGAGACCAAAAGTAAGCCGCGGATCGACTTAATTCAATTTCAAAGGTCACTATTGATGAGCTGTTCACTTCTCCGTTTGAGAGCCATAAGTTTCAAAATCTAACATGGCTCTCGAAGTGAGTAAGGTTTTCTCAGACCTAGGTACCTTTTTCTGTACCGTTTTGCGGTTATTTTACTCTATAGCATTGGAATATGTTCACATCATGAGCTACATAATTGATTAACTTAAATATATGACATGTAAAAACGGCTTGATACGAACAGAATAAACAGCGATTGTGTTTTCTCACAGTCAGTGTTACCCCTCCCCCTTACCCATCTCGATCTATAGCGCGGTATAAGGTGACCTGATTATGCAAATGAGAAAACCCCATTGGTTTCTAGGTGGTACAATCAAATCTGACGCGGACAATCTTCGTTTTAACTGTTGTTTTTGATTGGTTCGTGAACGAAATTCACTTAACTATAGAAAATATGTTACGTTATAAGGATAGATTGTTTTTACTAACCAATCATCAACATTTGCTGACATATTCAGCCCTGGACTTTATGTCCAAAGGGGGGTAAGACACATCGTCAGAATAAATTTCAAGTTCTCACACCCCTTATATCATGTTTATTGGCTAATTCAAATCGGATGCGGTAAAAACCGAACGCCAATTTGCGAACGTTCCTGGTATTACGTTCGCCCTTGATCCGGTCTCGGAGTGCAGAGGCAATTCAAAGAGTCAAAATCCATTCGCAAAGCCGTTGCCATAGTCCATAAAACACAAGAATTCACAATGGTCATCAGGAGAAAACTATGGCTGGTTTCGATCCCCATTTCTCTAATTTTAACCCTACTTTCAATGTTTTCATTTGAGGGTTACCGTCTTACATTTCATCTTTATATCCTAAAAGAGTTAACTCTTACCGAGTAGAACGACTGCACCTCTGCCATTAGAATGAATGACATCAACGAAGGTGGCGTCCCTCTCAGTGAGTCTTACTGCTGGTGTCGTGTCGGCAAACCAAGGACCAGCTGGATCAAGACCTAACGAAGCATAACGAAATGGACGAATGTATCACAAAACAGCTAATGGGGAGCTGTTCAGCTATATGTTTTAGGATAAGTTGTACTTTGATCACGATCAGTTATTTAATGAAAAATCTAAAATGTGAATAGGCTTGCATTTTTGGTACCTGATATTCGACCTAACCGCTGATTTCTAGCAGCCAACCATTTGCCCATATATCCACAAGTCTGCGCGCCGAGACTGTGTCCGATGCAGTGAACATTGGCGATATTTACTCCGATTGCAGAGTTTTGCATGTAGGCATACATAAGTTGAGCCGCTGCGGCTCCAACTACACGTGTGTTTGACGCGGCTTGGGGATAATCCAGCCCGGGAATGTCGGGACTAGCACCGTTTGTCCAGTCGAGTTTTATCACATTATAATCACCCTACATCGTGTTTAAATATCAAAACATTCATGGTCTTAGAAATAAAATATTTAAATGAAAAAAAACTCAATGAATTTGTTCAATATTTAAAAATGATACGTATGATAATAATGATGGTAAGGTGATAATAATCTACTTACATTTTGCAGGAGCTGGCGTCTCATGTTTGCAATCCATTCAAAGTCGGTAGATGTTAGATAACCATGAATAATAAACATGGTTCGTCTAGAGGCTCGGAAGTTGCGCCTAGTGAGAAAGAAATAGTAACATTATAAATATGATGGCATGTGAGCCCATTTGGATAGAAGTTCCATTCTATTGAGAGAGAAATAGTAACCTCATAAAGATGGTTGTCTCGGAAGCTATTTGGAAGTTGCGTCTATTGAAACAGAAATAGTAACATTATAAATATGATGGTATTGGACACTTGGAAGTTGCGCCTAGTGAGACAGAAATAGTGGCATTATAAATATGATGGTATTGGACACTTGGAAGGTACGCCTAGTGAAACAGAATTAAATAGTAGCATTATAAATATGATGGTATTGGACACTTTGAAGTTGCGCCTAGTGAGACAGAAATAGTAACATTATAAATATGATGGTATTGGAGGCCACTTGGAAGTTGCGTCTAGTGAGACAGAAATAGTAACATGATCTTCCGGGAGGCTCAGGGGCGTAGCCAGGTTTCAATCGGGGGCGGGGCTTGGATTTATTTTGAATGCTAGAAGCTTTAAATAAAAATACCTTTTAAGCTCTTTTCTTCTATAATCTAATGATTCTATTGGGGGGGGGGGGGGTGCTTGATCTCGGATCGAGGTACTTGAATAGTTGGTGTCAGCTCGTGTAGAAACATATTTGACTTACCCAGGGTTTTCGGGTGTAATATCCTCTTTTGTGTCTGGGTTATTTCTTGTAAACAGCTCAAACTTATAGTTGATTTGACTGGGTGACTGTGGAAGTTCACGATCATCGAATGGAGGATTGTCGTTGAAGCATCCTAGTGCCCCATAACACACTTCCTCGCCTCTACAACAGTGAATACTCTTGAAATAGCTTAATCTTTTGATTTGCAAAACAATTTTTTCAAAAGCATTGATTTGTGTCGACCACTTGCCTCCGTTTAAGGGATAATCCCAATATCCTGAACCGACTATAGGATAATATATTTATTCCATACCAATCTTGGTCATCTGGTTCGCTTAATAAGATGATATATGTCTTCATGTAATCACTTTGTATAAAACAGAATTAGACTTCGTCTCGTTCCAATACGGAATTTCTCAAGCAGAATATATCCTGCACTTCAAATCATTCAATGACTTATATGATTTTTTGTTACAAATTGAAGAAATAGGAAAACCTATTCTGAGGACTTTTTGCCTTCCTTCGACGCCATTTTTATTGTAGGCAATTTTTCAAAATGCGCTGCTCGTTCAGTTTTGATATTTGTTTGAATTGGGGACATTTTGTGAAATTTTCAGGGGGTAATTTTGGTTTTTCACTTACTATTCCTCAAAATATTTATCCTAAAATACTATTTTGTCATTTTTTTTTTATCAAACTTCAGTTTGTATCGTAATATAGTATTTATAATGATATCATACCATATAAACCTATGAAACAAAAGGAATGACTTGTCAGGGCTAGTTTGAAAATTTCAGTCTTGCACATGCTCAAATTTTCTGTTCACTCTTAGTTCACCCTAAATTTAAAAATTTCTATTTTTCAATCCCAAAAGGTCGACTAATTAAAGCTGACGAATCTTTTTCTATGGAGAACACCAATTGTTGAAAGGTTAAGTAAGATCAGTGAAACTTACAATGCAAAAGTAGCACAAAGCGCTAATCCCAAAATGCACAAAATTGCCATTTTGCGAAACTCGCTGTTGTCTCGTCGGTGTCGTCGCCGAACTGAGCTTCAATACCATGGCAATCGGTCTTATTATCTCGCCATTGGCTGGAGTTGGTCTCATTTGTCATGTCGAGGGCGTGTACGCATGTGTCAGGGTTTACATTTATTGGAGAACAAAGCACACCTTTTTTCTTTCATGTATACGAGGGTTGTCCCAGAAGTAATGCACTATATGCTCTAACTTTCTTTTATATTCTTCAATTCAGCTGAAATTTTGTGTATATAACAATTGAAGTTTTATCTATTATATCCTGAAGTTTAAGCATCCAACATTAATATTAAGTCTTAATATGGTTGCTATAACAACATGGGGGTAGGGGTGGGCGGGGCAGGTACCAATTTTTCTAATTATGAAAAGATCTAAAGTGTTATTTTATTAATATTTCTTTCCTTTAAATGGTCAAAATGTTTGGGAAATTGTTAAATTTATTCAGCATGATGTTAACCAAGTACGAATAATGACATTTAGCACTGTGATGTCATAATACCACATTTCAATAGTCACGAATTCAAATACAGTCACAGTCAAGAAATTGCAAAAATGGCTGCAATTCTCACCAGATAACAGAAGGCCTTGCGTTTGGTGGCCTAATTTCAAGCTACACTTTGACTCAAAGCCACGCAAAACAATGCTACCATGAAGAAAGTATATAAGGAGTATATACCAGTTAGAACTACAATTATGGGGTGGCAGAAGAGATTTAAAAGAGACAATTTGACTCCAAACATGGGAGGCAAAAACTCCACAAGTCAGTCAGTGGAAGAAATTGCCGAGAGTGTTTGACCTGAAAGGCATCAAAAGTACATAACATACAAAGGGCAATATTTTGAGAAAATGTGAAATGGGACACTGTGCAATTTACATTCATTAAATCTAGGATGTGCTCATAATAATTTAGTATCTTAAAATGTATTTTTGAGCATACTTCTTATAGCTACACCAAATGGTATTTGTTGATTAATTATTTCATATTTTCAATTTTTTATTCCTTTTGACGTGACTGTATAACCTGCCCCGCCCTACCCTGACTCACCAACTTGATTTTATTATAACATCAATATAGTTTTATCAGTCAACATGAAACTTTTTAGAATAATCAAAATGTCTCTAAGGAACATTTACTGACAATTTCATGGAAAAATATCAATTACTGATAAAGTTAGAGCATATAGTGCATTACTTCTGGGACAACCCTCGTACGCTATCATTAGTGCATATATATAACCTGTATTTTGTCCTGGATTCTGGCCAGAGGTTTGAAACATTGATACAGAGTGACCCTAGAATTGAGCGTCTCTCTCGATTCCCACGTGAGTGAGTTAGGGAATTATTTCGTCTCTTTCTCAGGAATATTAAAAAACTCCAAAACATGTTCTCGTTATCAAAATCACACCTGGTCATTATTAAATAAACACGCAGTGTACCTACGACTCGATATTCGACGTTGACGTTGATCCACGACAACATTAAAAATGTATTATTTTCTGACATTATAACTGACTATAAATCCATAGTCAGCAATTCAAAAGATTCGAACTAATATTTTGATCACGTCTTGTGTGTTTTGAAATTCTTAATTTTGTAATAACGGCGTGACTCCATATCTGGCAGAATATCGACATGGAACCCTGGGAGCCAATCCTCCTTGGTAGGAATGGCCTTTTTGTTGTTTTAATCGAATTGCTGGTAGAAAAATCGAGAATTAGGTGTTCTTTACGAAATCTCTGTCATGACCTTGAACTTTAAATCTACATTTATAATGCTTTTGTCTCATTTTGTATGTAACAAATGTTCGACTACTCTTGCATGCGTTTAACAAATATTTGATAAATCTTACAAGGTTAGATAACCTACATGTTAACAAACGGTGTTTCTCATGATTGTTTCTATTTCAGTAACATCACCCGAGGAACTTAATAAATAGGTAATAGGCCATACTAATAGTTCATGAATAGGGTGTGCCAAAATCAAAGTATCAAATGTAGTTGGATTTTCTATATGCAGGGTGTGCCCAGATTTTTGTAACGTTTTAAAAGGCTAGAAAAGTATCATAACATTACTGTACTGACATTAAGAGAAACTTAAGGAGAGGCATATTTTACCATTCAAATATTTAAGCTTATACTGACTTCAAATTTTTTTGTCATATCTTTGGACATCAATGGTAAATTGTTCATGTGTCTGAGATTTACTGTTTTTTTCTGAAAATGTGACTGTCTGCGATTTTATGTGATCACCAATAACACATTCATTATCTATTAATTATTTATTAAACGCATGTTCAATGCATCCGCCTTTCATCTTCACTATCACACATTGACGAGGGCGGAACTGGTCAATGGCGTGCTGTAGTGGTTTTTGTGGTAGTTCTCTCCACTTCTCTTGCAGAACTTCTTTTAGTTGATCAATAGTTTGTGGGGGATTACTATTAACTGCAATAAGCTGCTCCAGGTGCCTCAATGTGTGATAGTCACAGGAGTTGGCATCTAGTGTATTGGGCGGCCATTCATCAGGACTGATGAATCGAGAGGTATTCTCCTCAAACACCAGATATTGTGACTTTTTCCCGATGGCTGGGAGTGCTATCTTGTTGGAATATGTAATCACATGGTGCTAAAGGAGTCCTCATTCTTGGCAGATGTCCCTTTTAAGAAACATTTTGAATGTAATATTCGAAGTCAACCTTACATCCTTTTTATACTAAAAGCAGATTTCGTGAACATAATGAATTTATTGTTGATCACATAAAATCATAGGAAGTCACATTTTCTAGGAAAAATAGTAAATCTCGGACACAAGAAGGATTTACCATTGATATTCAAAGATCTGACAAAAAAATTGAAGTGAGTATTAGTATTCGAATGGTAAAATATGCTCTCATTAAGTTTCTGTAGATAAATTTTTATGTCATTAACATAAAGTTCATCTTTCTAGCCTTTTAAAAAGTTGCATTTTTTTGGCACACCCTTTATCTTGCTCCAAATATAAATGTAAGTTTCATGTCCTAACTTCAGAGGCAGCCTGTATCCGATCTGACACACATAGTTTAGTGCTCCTGTACTTAGATAAGATTGTACAATTTAGGTCAGACTATACTACTGAATATCCTTATATTCAAGTCCAATTAAGACATTCTCCGCCCAAACATCCTCCAGCTCCATCATTTACCATCTCCCCTCCAATAACATAAACATCAACATTGGGTTGAAAAAACGACGTAACATTGTCGTAAGTACTGTTCAAATCGGACATTGGAGGGGTGCAGTTGCAGGCGCATTGGACAGCACGGATGAATGGATTGAAACCTGTTTGGAGAGTCATCATCGCAATGATGTAACCCGTCACAGCGATGAATATCTGGAATAATATTACATCAAATTTCAAACAAATCTCAAAAATCGATGTTGACATGTTGGTGCCTCTGTCTCAAAGCCGTTTGTGTATGTGCATGTTGTGCACCTTTCTTGAGTGTTGAGCAATCATTAGGTGATGAGGCCAATCTAGTGAAAAATGCGTACCAAAATGTTTTCGCACATTGTCTTTTAGGGTTAGGAATTTATATTTAGCCTATATGTATGTTACTAAGTTTGGTATAAGACCCAACTTTAAGAAGAGAACTTACCGAGGTAGTGGTATCTCTTGTAATAGTAAACAACTGCCACCCAGTGAAACCTATTGCACCCGTCAATTTATAGATAAACACTCGAATCTAAAAAGTAAAAGGAAAATGTTTTTTATTGTTTATGTATTTCCACAGAAATCCAAGGAATATATGATTCATTGAATGAAAACTGATTTTTTATGCAGATACTGTGGTGTAGGATATATGAAGTCATTCAAAGTCGTATACATAAGGATTGGTTCGTGGGGTTCTTTGGTTAGACATGAACACAAAAAGGGTTTAATATGTTTACCTGTACCATCTTGTCAGAAGGAAGATTATCTTGGTCCAACATCCTCATCTCATGAAGTTCATCCAAAGGAGCGGTACCCTAAATAAAAATACAACGTGACAGCATGCTGCATCAAGTATAGAAAATAATTACGCGGAGCATTTTCAAAAAAGAGGTCTTCGAGGATCGAATTGTTAAATATATACCTGTGATTTTACTACTTTTAGATGTAGATGGAAATTGATCAAATATTGTACTCACGGCCTCATTTAACAATGTTGCGGCGACGGTGACGGTGTAAAGACGAAATATTGCAGCCAAGAGCAACCACAATTGTAACAAAGGAAGCGTCAAAGAATCTCCAAATTGATCAAAGATCAGGTTGAACGTAAGAAGGCAAGCAGCGGGGACGTCTGTGACGTATACAATAAGAGTATGGAGATTAAATATATCGTCCCCTGTCACAACCAAACCACAGATGCGAAGATGCTCACGTCTATGTTCCTCAATATTGCCAGAATATTCACCGTTTACTGATGTCGTGTTCTTAAATTTTTCAAAAAATAAATTGAATTCCTTTTTGAGAACGAGGCAGAATGTGACCATGAGTGACATGGAGAACGAGTAGGCACAAGATGCAAAGAAAGTCAAGATGATGTAAATAACTCGGAACCAAACAGGAGCCTCTTGTCCCCTGTAAAAAGGAGTCAGTTCAAGTTCTGTATATTGACTGTTTGGCGTATTGAACCATACCGCAATGAAGATCACATTTACTATGACTAGAATTGCCGCTATCACACAGTAAACGATTGACCATTTTCTAATGTAGTTTCTGTATGGCAACAGGATGCGATCTTTCATCATTTTATGGCATCTTTCAAAGAAGTTTGGAACATTTCTTGCTGCGAAAAATGAACATGTCGAAGCAGCGGCTACCTGGAACCACCATATGTGTCTTGCAATTTTGAAAAATAGTTTTTCGCCGTACCAAGCGTCAGTTTCATAGACCGTGAAAAACCTAATGACGCTGGCCCACAGAATGAGCATCAAAATAATTGAGTAGAGCATAGATGGTGTAATAATCTGACTGCGTCCTTGCCATTCACGGGTGTGGAAGAGCCCCAGACATTTCATCAAAAATAACAATGGTCGTATAGCAACGTACAAGGAGTCCGAGACATGTTTGAAGTTCGTCCCTTGCGTTGCTTTAACGTCTGCTGAATATAATTGTCCAATGTACATATCCCCAACGTCGCCATACTGTACTGACATTTTCCTCTCTTTTTGTTTTGAAGTTTGTTCAAGAGTTTTTGACCTTTGTTTCACAACGTTGTCGTCGATCTCGATATCAGTACCTCCGACAGTTACCGAAGAACGCCGACGATTTTGCCGAGCTGCTTGGAACAGCCTGGAATCGGAATCGATGCGTCCATTCTGTCCATCTTCTGATGACGTCATCATGGATTAGTGCTGCAGATCTGACACAGGTAACCGAATAACACTATGCTACGCAGGAGTCGACCATAGAAGCTGTACCATGTCGTTTTTTGTATTTATAGGTCCTGCATGCAAAATACCAAAGACATGTTAATAATAGGTTGTACTTGTACCGCATTATTTTTTATTGTTACGTTTTGTTATAACTTTCTAGAAATTAATATAACAGGCAAAAAGTGTGTAATAATCAATATCTGCAATGTCACGTTGGCCTTTAATGTTCAATTACATTAAATAATTTAAACATGAAAATATAAGTCGTCCAATTCGAAAGTGCAGTCAAGTACATGGTTTTGATATGAAGATGAACTGGGATTTGGAAGTTTTTATCATGATCATGCATTGTGATTGGGACGTCATTCATATTATGTAATGTTTCTTTAGGTGAGCAAAGTTCATAAAAGAAAAGTAAGTATGAAATAATCATTCAGAACCAGACCTGTTCTAAAAAGAAAAGTAAGTATGACATAATCATTCAGAACCAGAGCTGTTCTAAAAAGAAAAGTAAGTATACAATCATTCAGAACCAGAGCTGTTCTAAAAAGAAAAGTAAGTATACAATCATTCAGAACCAGAGCTGTTCTAAAAGGAAAAGTAAGTATACAATCATTCAGAACCAGATCTGTTCTAAAAAGAAAAGTAAGTATACAATCATTCAGAACCAGATCTGTTCTAAAAGGAAAAGTAAGTATACAATCATTCAGAACCAGATCTGTTCTAAAAGGAAAAGTAAGTATACAATCATTCAGAACCAAATCTGTTCTAAAAGGAAAAGTAAGTATACAATCATTCAGAACCAGAGCTGTTCTAAAAGTTTTAATCTAAGTATGAAATAATCATCCAGAACTAGAGCTGTTCTAAAAAGAAAAGTATGCAATATTAATCCAAGTTAGGATTTTTGTTATAATAAATTTGGCGTTGAACCATTAAAAAATCGTGGTTTCGGTCGGTATCTTCTGCAATGCAATGGTTTACATTAACATTCTTAGAACTTGTTGGATATTCTTGGAGAATTTAGACTTGTTATTCATTTTATTTATTATTTGGCTGAGTTTGTTATCATTTTTATTCTTTTATCTTTAAGTCAAGAGTTATTATCAGTAATTGATCTTCAAATGGCTAGATGGCAATGTGGTACTGAAGGAAAAATAAATGCCATTTTGTCAAATCTGTAAAATATATTTTTCAAAAAATAATCAGTAGGCAATTTTCTTCTAAAAATGAATCAAATTATGATTCTCTCGTAAAGTGCAGGTGATTTTTCCTACTAAAATTGTAGTAATTTATCCAAATACGGCCTATGACTAATTCTATGACTAATTTTTAATTAATTAATTAATTACATATAATTAAGCTTCAAAACCTTTATCTCAGACGTACATAAATAGAACAAAATCACGGTGTCAACCCAAACGCTCTGACTTGCATGACGGGGCGTTTCATTACTGAAACTAAACAAAGAAACGCTCTGGAGTAGTAAAATTGGCGGGCGGGAATGATGAGCCGTCTGATTTCCCCTATAATGGCAATAAGAGCTAGGTATGAGTTACTTATTTCGAGTATACCATTCGATGTGTGTGATATTCATGTTGTACTTGTGTTGTACTTGGCTGGCTGTTGGCGTTTGAAGCAATTAGGAAGAGCTATCCGAAGCAGTAAAGTAATCAAACGTATTTGTCATTTTACCGGTCAAAACCCCTTTTGTCAAGACGTGTGATTAATTGAGCCAAGATTAGAGCACCAACGTATATTTTGGTTAAATTTCAATGCTTCAACACACCATACATTATCGTAATTGTGATTTGATGACCGAAAATCTAGTCTTAAAAATGATGACATTCTCATATTCAAGAAACGCTGCGATCTGGTAAACACAGTGAACTGGAAACGCTGCGGTAGTCTAGTTCTGTTTACGAAATATATAGCATGGTTTTCCCTTTCAGGAAGAGAAAGAAAAGATCTATTATACCCCTTGGCATCAAAAGGAGAAGGATTAATTAACATATAAACTTTTCGTTTTTTGTCAATAGTTTCATGTTTTAGCAGTAGGCATAACATCATCTAATGTAGGTTTAAGTCGGCTTGTTGCACGTGTAGCGCCACTAGGTTGGGACGTTTCAATTTGCATAACAAGTACAACACGTTTTTGAGAGATAGATTCGATTCCGAGCTCTTCTTTAATAATCTGAAAATAATATCAAAACGTTTCGAGGAAAACAAGCGATTTCTCGAGAACAAGTAATGGATTTGGACTGGGATTTTAGGAAATGAGAAAATATGAGTTTGTGATCTACCACTTTTACAGAAAGATTGAGGTTCTCATATAAATACCAGTTTAATTCGACATTTCAGATTCGTTCGATCTCCACTACGGAGCTTTGTTCAAACAAATAACAGATTACCACAAGAAGTTGAATAAATGGGATCTTTGCCCAGGGTATTGTTCATATTTCACCATAACGTATGATATGTAAGAGAAACGAGTGAAGCAATACTTACGGTCATACGTGGGATATTCATTAGCCGCAATCTTATTTCGCTCCGCAGCGTTTCCGCGTGAATGAAACGCTCCGTCATGTATGTAAGACCGTTTGAGTTGGACACTGTGAAAATGCGACGACACGTAGAGCCCTGAGCCTTTTTAAAGATAACTTTTTTAAGTGTGAATACTGATTCAAAATGTCAAAGTTTAGCATAATGTCTATATGGGTTCTGTGTGTCCTTCACTGGTCAATTGGCTGATAAAAAGGTTGATAGGTTGGTACTGTATGGTATAAGAACTCAAATGATGTGGGAGTAATAAAGGTACATACATACATACTGTATTTCACCATAGATGGAACACCTTGTGTGGTCCAAGGCCAGGCGTTTTACTTGGATTTATCTACACTCTCATTCATAAGTTTGACTACATCTTTGGAGTCGACAGAAAATGTTTATTGACTGCATTTTCAATTCCTCTGATTTTACCCAATAATTGTCATTATTAACAAGAGCTAGTAATTTCTGTCAGATGTTATGAAAATTGCCATGTTATTACATATAAACCAATGGAAATGGTGGGAATGGCAATATATCCATACTTCGAAATATTCAAAAAACCAATCGACAAGTATCTTCATAGGCAGAGCAGGTAAAAATATTTTTCTAGAGACTCCCACGTTGAAAATAAAACGTTTATGAAAACAACTGAGCCTATGTACATATATAAGCTCTTCCAAATTTAACGGAATAAAAATCGATCCCTTAGAGTCAAAAATCCTTGATTTTTAAAGGAAACGATATGGGCCCTCGGCTTAGCATTGTATAACTTGAAGCTGGAATAAATAAAGTTTAATCATAAAAATGATCGAAATATGGCTTTGAAAGCAAATTCAATATTCTGAAACGCAACTTACCGTTATATGATTTTGCAGATCACACCAACAGTACCCCTGCCTTCTAAACTACATCTATATCTTTCCAACTTCTTTCTATAAAATCAAGGAACACCTTTATTTGATTAAATATCACAAAATATGTCGTTTCGTGAACTTGGTATGCCTTTGAAGAGTACATCGACATACAGAGACATCAACTTATGTTTTAAACATCATTAGGTTTCATGACATGCGCAGAAATACTACATATCTTGACAGATAACATAATTCATCATTTTCTAATATCGTATATTGATAAATCTGAAATCTATTTCTAAATAATCCTGTTGGTACGTTTGATTGGCTCGTGATCTAAATATACTCGAGACTTTCAAGATCAGCTTATATAGAATGAAACTCATATGATATGTCTCAATGTACATATCACTTAACACAATAAGAAGACTTGTATCATCAACAAAAATACTTCCTAGATTTTATGACAACTTAGGAATACGCATGCGCTCGGCAGTGACGATTTTCGTAAGTTATTTTTGACCTTTCGGTAAAAAGATGTTTTTAGTATCTTAAGACTCCTTTAGATCTACATAATATTTACCAGGCAAATGATTATAAAAGATTGGTTAATAGCGTGAAATGTGGAACTTGTAACGGAAAATTATAACAAGGCACGCGAGTTCAGTGGAACCATTTTATATTTTCCTAAGAGTACTTCTGAACAAGCTGATACACCATGTCATTCCTTCACATACTTTTTGATACACCATAACAGATTCATGTTTGAAATTTAATTTGCACACTATTTCGAAAAGTGGAAATGTTGATTAAATTGTCATAAATACTTCTAATTTTTCTAATAACGTTTCCCTATGTTCACAGATATCAATGGCAAATTGAATTATGATTTTACTTTGTAACCACTTTAAGTCGCCATGTAACCACTTTTATCTCTTGCTAAAATGCAAATGATAAATAAATAGACAGTCAATATATTTATGTTAAAATATTTTCCTTCGTTTCAAGGAAAACATCTAACATTCAATTCCAAAATTAATACAAGAATGGTAGGTCAAGGTTTTTTCTAAGAATGGTAGTTTAAAAAACATTTTTACATCTGTCATACATGTAAAAATATTTATATATTGCATATTCATTTTCACTTTAGATATTCTATAAGTGCGTGTACATGTCATACACTGTGTCAATGTAATATTAGGATTTGACACATTCTATCAAAGTAATTGTAATATTTAATTTTTCATTGATACAGTTGTCAAGTTCAAAACTAATAAAAAGTTCACGAGCGTCATTCTAGAGATTGTTTGACTTCCGTTTTCGATTTTTTGAATCACAAAACCCGGGAGTGTACATTTTGTTGTTAATATTTGATATTTAGGAGATATGTACAATACGCGTATACTTATATTAAGTATAGCGTGTGATAGATTAAAATTGTGCACTAGAAGACGCAGTCAACAATCACGAACTAATTAAATCAATCTTCCCAAGACTCACACGTTAGAAGAACTGAATGCCACTTTAATACTACACAAGAAAAAATACTATCGTTTTCTGAAGAAATTACCTTGAAACCCTATGATATTCAACAAATATCTAAGCATGCAATGTGGCACAACAGCTTCATTAGTCTCAATTTTTATAATATAGATAAAAGCAATTAAGAACAAACATGACTATATAGACAATCACATAGATGACCTCGTGTGTCTATTATCTTATTTCACTTGATAAACGATGATGACAATATCTATGTTAAGAAAACAAAACTACCATAGGACGCTAGCAAAAGATTTACTCGTTTACTTTGTCATTACAGAAGAACAATTTGATAAAACAATCAGCGGTTGTAATTAGGACAACGGGTGCACAATGGGGGATGTGGCGGGGGTTAGTTCTGCCCCAAATGGCCGTGTCAATCGTGGTTTTGACGGACCTGAGAAAGCCGATGTTGATGCTGATAACGTCATCTACACGATCGACAGCGCAAATAGGATTGACTTAGAAGAAGTGAAACGAAGATCAGGTAAGAATGGGTCTGTTTGAAAAAACGGGAACAAATCTATATTGTACGATTGATATAATATGATTGGTATCACAATATACTTGTAAGATACGATATAAATGTTTCAGTAAAGTACGTCAAAGTATTTGTATTTTGTATAACAGGCTATGTATATTGTGATCACTTGAAAGCCTATAGAAGTAGAAAGTCCAAGAAGGTTGTGTTTAAATGTCAAGGTCATCCAGTGGGCAAGGGCCAAAATATGAAATTCCTAGAGCATGATTTTGCAATCTAGCTTTAAGGTCTATGAAAGCAACAGAAGCATAAAATCTTAAAGGATATTAACCTCAGCAAAGATAAACCAACAAATGCACGAATATTGCTGGAAGTCAGGTCTAATCCAATACGAAGTTATTGGTGGAGATGTCTACACTCCGAACGATCTCTTTTCTATTGAATTTTACCACATTTGCACGAAGACTAATATATGGTCGAGATTTTTAAAATAGGTTTGGAATGTTTCTTGGTTAAGTGCCAGAGCAGATCAATTTCAACTACGTTGCATGGGGAGGTGAATTTAGAAATTCCCAACTCGCATAACTAAAAACTACATATTGACTGTGTCCTTGTGCTTTAATAGTTTTTATTTTTGTTTTCAGCAATCACAAATCTACACAAAGTACAAGAGAGAAGGTCTTCCTTAAAATTTGATGATGTAAAAACAATGACAACTGACCAACTCTATGGTAGCTCAGTGAAACAAATGATGGGCACAAACTATAAACACACACCCACATCTCTTTACACAGCCTTAAGGCCATTGCTTTATGTTATGAAAGTGCTCGGACTCTACCATTCGAGAGAATGGGGTGGAAAGGCAGTGCATGTGACGCCTTCAATGGTGTACTCTATTTTGATAAACCTTTTACTCTGGGCTAATGTGTTCAGGTACTTTACGGCATATCGGCGGGACGAATGGTACCAAACTGCTTTATTCTTCAAGATTGTGCGTCATATTTGGTTCTTTCAATGCGCCATATGTGCGTCTGTTTGCTTTTGGGCATCTCGTGGAATGCCTGATTTCTTTAAGCAATTCCATGAGTATATGCAGCACCGCACTGAGCTCACATATCGGACTTATATCATGCGTACGTCATTTTTCGCCATGTTTCTTTCAATGGTAATAACCATAATTAACGTTGTCATAGTAGGTGTGTGGTTTACCACTAGTAGAGGAAGTCAGTATTCAAATATGGACATTTCGCCTTTCTTCAGAAACCAAAACGTTCCCGTCTGGTTCACAGTTTTGTATCTTATCCTCCAGTTTTATGCCTCTGCTTCTTGGGGTTTCACTATTGCATTGTACGTTATGCTTAGCGTCTGTCTCAGGAAAGAATTCATGAACTTTGCCTTGAAGTTCCGTCTAGCTACCTCCGCCAGTGGCATCTTCGAAGGAAACATCGAGGCGTTCCGAAGGGAGCATTTGGTTTTGTGCAAACTTGTGAGCACGGCGGATGGCTTGATCAATGTCTTCACGCTTCAGGTCTTCGGAACAGGGGTGCCCCTAGTCTGCTTCTTGATCTACAATCTGATGTTTGAGGAGGACAGGAACCTAGTGGTTTTTCTCATGAAACTCTACTGGTTCATCACCGCCACAGGGAAATTGTTTATCACCATCGGGTTTGCCAGTATGCTCAACGTTGCTGTAAGTATAGGCATTTAACCCTGTTTCTTTTTCCGGTAGTAATCAGGGATAAAGCACCCCTTGCAACGATAAACTTGAATAGGAAATATCAAAGACAAACAGGGGTCAAACATCTGTCAGCTTTATTCAGCTGTGTGTATAGAAATTATACTACTGTACATGTTACTTGTAATTTTGTCACACCCCATACCTCTGATTTCGGTTTACAAATAAAAAGGCTATGGCAAAAATTAAAAATATGGAGCCTGTTGCTTGCAGATTAGAGTAAGTGTGCAAGAGTCACAGGACTTAGAATAAAATAAAATCACCCGGCATCATTTCCAACGGTCAAAAAATTCTTAAGTGCGAGTGTTACACTGATAAATATTCTTTTTTGAGTTATATTATATGGATAGATATTTGAATAAGGTTTATTTGCTGAATGATTAAGCTCAATATCTTATTGAACACCATTCGCCAGCTGTTTGATAAATTGAACACCATTCGCCAGCTGTTTGATAAATCAAGGTTAAAAGAAACGTTCGAAACGTTAAGCCATTTGTGCTCCTTCTACAGCGTCATTATCTTTGATTACAACATGGGCCTCTCTTAAAATGAAAATCCATGATTACAACAATTGATTAGGGATGTGTATTATTTTACAGGGCTGTGCACCTAAAGGGAACCTGCATGGGATGAATCTTGGTGTAGGTGCTATGAACTCTGGGAAAATGGTTCAGGTAAAATATCCTCATTTATCCCATAGTTGAGGTCAAATCCGGCTGTAGAATAACACCTATATATATTTATGATATTTTGCAAATGCGTCAAAATATTGATATCAACTCGTGGATAAAAATGATATCCCTCAAAATCATAGGATATCTTATACATATCTGAATGAACCCTATCTAGAGTGAATGAATCAAAGATTTCATTTGTAATCTACTCGTTTAAACACTGGACGAAATGCTTCACAACAGGACCTGATACTGAGTATTGAGAGTTTGAAGTGTTTCTTATAAAATGAATTTACGAAATGTGGTTATGTATTTTTGTTGATAAAATTCTTTAAATTATTGAAATATCTTAAATGTTTGTTTTCCAGATAAGTTTATTTTTGAATAAGCTAACACAGGGCCAAATTGGTTTCACGGGATGGTATTTGTTTGTTGTCACAAGAAGTACACTCATATCAGTAAGTAAATTCAAGATACTTCTAAATATATATGATAAAATGACTTAGCGTCCCATTTTGATCACTTAAATAATTTATCTTTATTACATTTGTTTACAACATTTGCTATCTTAAAATAGACAGTATGAAATTGAAATAAAATTTATTCTAATTTGATATGTTAAAAATGAACTCCAGAATTCTTTATAGATAACATTACGACTGTACTGGGTGACAACACGATTTTGAGTCCCAAAATAAGAACTTTAATCTCTTTTTCATAATAAGTGCTGTATAAATATATAATAATTACAATAATTCAATTCCAATTTAACTGTCGCATATGCTCAAAGAGATATTAATTGTGACTTATCTCCTTCCCTTATATGAACTGGTCACACTGGAACACCTTTTTTGTACCCTGTAAATGTGTTTCTCTCTGGCAAAGTAAAACAAGGCAGTAACATACAAAATGTCACAACATGCCATTTGTTACAGACACCGACCGCCGAACGCCAACCGCCGACTTCCGTCCATAAAAAAATTGGAGACTATAACAATATGTCACAAATATGACATAAATGGCTTTGCTACATGTATATGGCAGGCACAGCAATGTGAACGTGGATTCAATAACAAAATATTCGTACTGTACTTGAACTATTTTAATTTGATATTTTTAGGTTTTCATCGCAATTCTGGGCTACATGATTGTATTGTGGAAACTTGGAACAGGGTTTAACCCGCTAGCAAGACCAACGTGCACCTGTAATTGTGCTTACCCGTCTGTGGATTACGCATTTAATAGAACCATATATGGATCATTTAGGCCGAACGAACCCAATCCTCCAATGCCAAGCTAACATACTAGGACTGTCATATGAAACCTGGTCGTTATTTGCTCTACACAAGAGTAAAGCACAGTTTTTAAGATTCTTTAAATGCCCAATATATTTAATTAAGAAGAAAAACGGAGAAAATAATCATTGAAACATGTTACTACCACACTGACTCAAATATTGCACAAAACTTGATTTGCTTCAATATTAAAAATTGAACCAAGAAAAAAAATTACTCACATAGAAAACAGTATTTGAAGTTCAGATGCCATTGGAAGTGCACGCACATGTTTGACAAAGTACATGTTTTAAATTACTCTTGATTTAAAATATGGCGACACTATAAAAATGAATGTATCGTGTAGTACAAACAACTTCGCCATCTTTCAATGACATTGATAAAACCTGATATATAAAGCTTGACAGATCGAAAATATATTATAATTTATTGTAAGCTTTCATATGGTCCATTTGAGCTGCTTTTGGTGCCAAGTTCTTATCCATTCATTGGACATATTATGAAATTCAAATGTAAGACTTTATTTTGCCGAAAAATATTGAAAATACGCAAAGTGGGCCTTTAACAAACAGTGGTAAGCACGGTCATCAAAATCATGAAATGTGGAGATTTTCTTGGTTGGATAGTGGCTTACTTTATTTACCAGATTTTTGGTAATTTCTCCTATGTTGATCTAATTGTCTTCCTACTTCGAAGTCAACTATCAAAGCACTCTTGTGGAAATGTGATGTAAAACCTTTGGAAGGGTACGGTTTGAAAGGGCGAAATAGATGCAGGGTTTAAATTAAATTATTTTATGGTATATATTGTATATAATGTTAATAAGTCAACAGTACGTCAGAGGTGACAGCTGGTGACACAGTTATTTATTAGTCAAAAGCAAAATAAATATATATATTGTGGGAATTTTTAATTCCCCCTGAGTAGTACTAGGGTTTGTGAAACGTTTATTTTACTGGGTTTTATGTTATTTCATCTTTATTTCATGTTCTGTCCACTGTAATTAAAGAATTGTATTGTAAAGTGTCTACGTGCAGAATCTCATCTAGGCACTTGGATGTTTACTGAATCAGCCGACGGCCTTGGAATAAATTTGCATAATTAGGCACTCAGCAACAGAGCTCAACCAATCAGATGGCTTCATTTGAATTTACCGCCAACTTAAGTTGTATTTTCCCATGATGCAACCTGAGATGTCTGGACTTTAGCGTGAGATCGTGACCTGTAAATCAGAGCTTACCAAGATTTTGTACAAGCAGGACCTCGTCAGTTTGGGGCATTTTATGTGCGAGCGTGGCTGATTACAACTGTGGATTATATTTGGATATTATTTGACTATTTGCTGCTATTGCTTGATGTAAATTGCGTGCGTTGCGACAATTGGGGAAAAGACAAGACAATAGATAGTTCTTTGGTGAGTGACAATTTGATTATTGAGTTTGACGCCATATTGCCGTCCGCCATTTTGATTTCTTCTTCCCAGAGTTCCCTGCGGTCGGCCATCTTTATTTTTTACGGAAGTGACGCCATTTTAAGGAGTGATTCCTTCTCTGAGTAGTTACAACTCTTGTCTAATCTCAGTTTGATTGATATTCGAGAGTCGCGTCTGCTCCGAGAGGTCACTGCTCCGAGTTATTACCCCTCCAACCATTTTAAGAACAATTTTTCCTCCGAGTTACATTGGCTTTGAGTAGGTACAACTCTTGTCTAATCTCAGTTTGATTGATATTCGAGAGTCGTGTCTGCTCTGAGGACTGTCAGCTCTGAGTCATTACTACTCCATTTGCCCCGAGGATCGCCAACTCCGAGTAATTATGGCTCTTGTCTAATCTCAGTTTGATTGATATTCAAGAGTCATATCTGCTCCGAGGACTCACTGCTCCGAGTCATTACTCCTCCATTGACTCCGAGGATTGCCAGCTCCGAGTGATTACTCCTCCATCTAGTTGAGAGCCATACCTACTCTGAGGACTCACTGCTCCGAGTGCTTACTCCTCCATCTATTCTAGAGTGGAATCTGCTCCGAGGGTTGAGAATACAACTCCGTCTAATCTCAGTTTAATGATCGATATTCGTGAGTTGCTTCTTCTCCTCCTCCGAGTTATTGATGATCCGAAATTGATACAAGTTGCTGAACTTGATGTACCCTCCGAGGTGATTTGACTCCTCCAGAAGTTAGATACTGAGGTTACACTACTGGAACCGAGGTATTTCTGTGTTGCAAGGTTTATTCCATTGGAGCCAAGGTTACTCCACCGGAACTAAGGTACTCCGAGATCGAGAAGTAGCAGCTCTGGTCTAATCTCACCATCTGATTGACATTCCAGAGGTGTTATTTCTCTGTAGAGGGTGACGAGGTTTCTCCTGAGAAGTGGCGACTCCCGAGCAGAGGTTGCTCCAGAGCCTGGACTCCTTCCAAGAGACAGAGTTTGTGTCGGAGCCAAAGTTACACTGCCGGAACCGAGGTGCTCCAAGAGACACAGAGTTTGCGTTGATTTCTCTTGAGACGAGACGACTCCGAGCTGAGATACTCCGAGCGTGTGAATCTCGTTCAAGAGCAGAGGTTTTCCCGAGAAGTGGCGACTCCCGAGCAGAGTGCTCCAGAGTCTGGACCCCTTCCAGAGACAGAGTTTGTGTCTGAGCCAAAGTTACACTACCGGAACTGAGGTGCTCCAAGAGACACAGAGTTTGCATTGTTCTCTTAAGACGAGACGACTCCGAGCTAAGATACTCCGAGCGTGTGAATCTCGTTCAAGAGCAGAGGTTTTTCCCGAGAAGTGGCGACTCCCAAGCAGAGAGTGCTCTAGAGGCTGGTACTCTTCCAAGAGAGAGAGAGTTGCGTGGTTTACCCAGAGACGAAGTGACTCCCGGAGCTGAGGTTGCTCCTTAAGCTGAACAAACTCCATACAGAAGATTAAGAGACGCAGTGACTCTTAGTGCTAAACAAGCTCCAGAGCAGAGACGACTCTTGAAGAGAAACTTGTATATTATATGGACATTTTGTTATTATATTGTAAAAACTTATGTTAGAATAGATTATAAAAACCCTGTACATAATTGTTTTGTGGAGCCATCTTCTATTGGTAACTGTCGTACCACCAAACCAGGTCGACACCCTTGAAACACCTCCAAAGATCCCTTTTCGTCGTCCCAGGCCTTTCCCCAGTATACAGGGTGCTCGGCGAATCAGCCCAGGCGCGACATTGGTGGCAGCGGTTGGATCTGTTGTCTTTAAAAGATGGCTGAGATGTCACAGAAGTTGGAGCGTACCCCAGAGATAAGGGGTCAAGAGAACTCCAAGCTCACTGAGATGATGATGATGACTGGCTCTCAGGGAAAAAGGGAACAAGAGGAAGCAGTGAGGACAACCCCACCAGTCGACAAGTTTCAATTGGAGTCTACAGTGCTCTTCAAAGGAGACGGGTTGGCTCCTTATGTGCATGCAGGTGATGACACAATTCCTTTGGATCCAGATGACCCCAGAGCTGAGCGGACTCCAGAGAGAAGATTCCAACAACTACCCACAGAGAGGCAGATGAGGATGCATCCTGGTCTTGAAGGGACTACTGGGTACTGGTCTTCAACTCAGCTCCAGAGAGATGTTCGTACACCCCCTGGCCTTGGAAGAGAATTCGGAGAGGGAGCGAGGCTGAGACATAGAGGGCAGTATCCTCTTACCTCCACACTGATACCAGAGAGGCAGAAGGATGAACAAATACTCCTCGAGAGACAGTTGGACTCCACACAATCCCAGGTTATGGCTATACAGGGGAGCCTTGGAACGCTCAGATCAGATGTTGGGAGAAGGCTGCAAGTTCAATCTGAAGAGATGGTCAGTCTCCATGTTGAACTCGGTAAACTGGCGAACGTGGTGAACCAAGGTCAAGAGGAGGCTAAGAAGAGCAGAGAAGGAATGGAGGCTTTCTTGAAAGAGATGAATGCTACCCTAGGGCAGATGAGCCAAGCTCCTCCACCGGTGTCCCGGATGGTGAATCCCTCTAGGGTTGAGATGGTAGGCGATCCGAGATCAGCTCTTCTGACTCAACCTGAAAGAAGTCCAAGAGAGATGTTTAACCGAGCAGGGATGCCTCCTTATTCCCCAAGATTCCATCTGGAACCAGATGTCCAAATGCAGCAACCTAGATGGTCACAAGGTGAAGAGCCGAGATTGCTCCCAGAAGCGACAATGCTGCTAGAGCCCAATAGAGTCTTTCTGAAGAGTAATGGTGATCATATAATAGATGAATCTGGATACAAGCAGAGAATGCCTGCTCCAGAAGATGATCCACATTCGATGACTAGATGGAGTCAAGATGTTGATTTGCAGCGAGATAGAAGTGCTCTGCCTCCAAAGACAAGAGGACATGAGGCTCCTCAGCTCACAAGGTTGGATCCAAACCAGCTCCCTCGCATGTCCGGAGAGGAACCACTTACTGGTCGATGGAATCAATCTGGAGCCAGATTACCTCCAGAGCCTAATGTCAAGGCAGAGCCAGAGAAGCTCAATGTGTCCAATACTCATAGAAGGGCTACCACTGGGGGACTTCAACAAGAACCAACCACATCCCATAGAGTGGAAGTTCCTCCAGAGAGCCTTGGGGCTCATCCTACAGCGGAGGAAAGGAGAGCAGAGAGCTCCAATAGTAACCATGAGCAGGCAATGGTGAAGATAACAGAGAAAGCCATGGAGATGTGTGGGAAGGCTTTGGATTCCATGAAGGAGGGAAGGAAGACTAAAATCAAGCCAACCCAACTATTTGATGGCAAAACTCCCTGGCTTGACTACAAAGCCCACTTCCAGAATTGTATTGAAAGCAATAGATGGAATGACGAGGAAAAGAGGCAGAATCTCACCAACCAATTGAGGGGTGATGCTCAGCAGCTGGTCCAAGAGTTAGAAGAAGGACACACTTATGGTGATCTTTTAGAGGCCTTAACCAAAAGATTTGGACCAGGGGACAAAGCCTCTATGTACGAAGCCGAGCTTAACACTAGAGTCCGGAAGCCGAAGGAGTCCTTACAGAGTTTGGGGCAAAGTATTAGGAGGTTAGCTGCCTTGGCCTTTCAGGAGATGCCCCGTTCCTCTCAGGATAGATTGGCAAGACGGAGCTTCGAAAATGCTATCACCGATGATGAAGTGAGAGCCGCAGTCCATCGTAGGGATCCAAAATCTCTCGACCAGGCAATTGAAGAAGCCCAGAAGGAGGAAGCTTACCAAGAGTCGGAACGTATCCGAAGGGGACTCAAGCCAAAACAATTGAACCATCACATTTCAGTTGTGACTAGCGACCCTGTGGAGGAAAAGCTTTTCAAGATGATGGAGGATATGAAGGCGGAGATGATGAAGGAGATAGATGATGCGTTACAGCTCTTCAAAGAGCAAAGAGAACCCCGAGCTCCTCGAACTATTACTTGTAGAAGATGTGGAGAGGAAGGGCACATTGTGAGAAGATGTCCTCTAGTCACCTGCTATAATTGCTCAGAGCCAGGGCACCTCTCCATTGATTGTCCTAAACCAAAGAAGAGTGGAGATGCTCCAGGGATCCACCCAGTATGTTTCCTTGATGCCAGGGGTCGAGCGGTGGAAGATCCTAAGAGAGCTGAATCTGCTCAGAAGATAGTGGCTGTCGTTGAGCTGTGTGGAGCTCCTGTTAAGTGCCTAGTAGACACAGGGTCAGCGGTGTCTTTGATGAGTCTACACAGCTTCAATCGAATCAACTACCAGAAGAGACCACAACTGAAACCAGCCAAAGATGTATTGGTCCAAGCAGATGGTTCTCCCATAGCAGTTTATGGCTCGTGCTTCATGGAAGTGAAGTTAGATGGGAGGAAGACCTCTTTGGAGATAGTGGTGGCCGAAATTAGCCAAGATGGGATCTTGGGTACTGACTATCTATTGGCTAGCAAGGCTGAGATCCATTACGGCTCCTTACAGATGAGCTTTCATGACTCAAACAGAGAAGGAATCCAGAGCTGTAGTAGCTCCCGAGAAGAGAGGTCCAAGGAGCCAAGAACCTTTGTTATTCCCTTCCAGAATAGAAGGAAGAGACGAAGAAGAAAGCAGAAGAAGGATGATCCAACAAATCTTGAGGCTGGAGATATCACTAGGCTCCAGAATAGGAAGAAGAGCGAAGATGACTCTCTTGATGTAAAGAGCCGAGATGCCTCCAATAGACCTAAGGTGGGAGCTGAGGAACCTAGAGTCCTAGTAGACAGCCGAGAAAGACCTACACTCCTTGAGAAGGGAATGTCAAGTAGGGGGGCAAGACGGTCGAGTGATAGCGAGTTGACAAGAGAGAGGCGAGCCTACAAACCAAGAGGGGTATCAAGTGAGCAGCGAGAAGAAAGACTACATTACAGAGCGAGACCCAGATGTCAAAGAAAACAGCCGACGTACTTACCAGTTTGTTGTGTTGGTCGAGACAAGATGAACTGGAGAAAAGTTGACTCATCAGAGGAGCCAATGAGGCTCCCTCAAGTGCGTGACAGAGGGGCGACGACAGAGGCCCAGTGACTCTTTGAATAAATAATACAATACAAAGTGTAGATAGACTGTTGATTGAGCGAGTATTGATTATAATTGTGTAACTTTTTGAAAGGAGCTAAGTGAGCTCTTTACTTGTAATTATTTTGTAAGAGGTGCTCGAGCTCTCTATGTATTTTTGTAGAAGTTGAGTTTATATTGTGTGATCGTGGGCGATCAAGCTTAGTAGGGGGGAGTGTGGGAATTTTTAATTCCCCCTGAGTAGTACTAGGGTTTGTGAAACGTTTATTTTACTGGGTTTTATGTTATTTCATCTTTATTTCATGTTCTGTCCACTGTAATTAAAGAATTGTATTGTAAAGTGTCTACGTGCAGAATCTCATCTAGGCACTTGGATGTTTACTGAATCAGCCGACGGCCTTGGAATAAATTTGCATAATTAGGCACTCAGCAACAGAGCTCAACCAATCAGATGGCTTCATTTGAATTTACCGCCAACTTAAGTTGTATTTTCCCATGATGCAACCTGAGATGTCTGGACTTTAGCGTGAGATCGTGACCTGTAAATCAGAGCTTACCAAGATTTTGTACAAGCAGGACCTCGTCAGTTTGGGGCATTTTATGTGCGAGCGTGGCTGATTACAACTGTGGATTATATTTGGATATTATTTGACTATTTGCTGCTATTGCTTGATGTAAATTGCGTGCGTTGCGACAATTGGGGAAAAGACAAGACAATAGATAGTTCTTTGGTGAGTGACAATTTGATTATTGAGTTTGACGCCATATTGCCGTCCGCCATTTTGATTTCTTCTTCCCAGAGTTCCCTGCGGTCGGCCATCTTTATTTTTTACGGAAGTGACGCCATTTTAAGGAGTGATTCCTTCTCTGAGTAGTTACAACTCTTGTCTAATCTCAGTTTGATTGATATTCGAGAGTCGCGTCTGCTCCGAGAGGTCACTGCTCCGAGTTATTACCCCTCCAACCATTTTAAGAACAATTTTTCCTCCGAGTTACATTGGCTTTGAGTAGGTACAACTCTTGTCTAATCTCAGTTTGATTGATATTCGAGAGTCGTGTCTGCTCTGAGGACTGTCAGCTCTGAGTCATTACTACTCCATTTGCCCCGAGGATCGCCAACTCCGAGTAATTATGGCTCTTGTCTAATCTCAGTTTGATTGATATTCAAGAGTCATATCTGCTCCGAGGACTCACTGCTCCGAGTCATTACTCCTCCATTGACTCCGAGGATTGCCAGCTCCGAGTGATTACTCCTCCATCTAGTTGAGAGCCATACCTACTCTGAGGACTCACTGCTCCGAGTGCTTACTCCTCCATCTATTCTAGAGTGGAATCTGCTCCGAGGGTTGAGAATACAACTCCGTCTAATCTCAGTTTAATGATCGATATTCGTGAGTTGCTTCTTCTCCTCCTCCGAGTTATTGATGATCCGAAATTGATACAAGTTGCTGAACTTGATGTACCCTCCGAGGTGATTTGACTCCTCCAGAAGTTAGATACTGAGGTTACACTACTGGAACCGAGGTATTTCTGTGTTGCAAGGTTTATTCCATTGGAGCCAAGGTTACTCCACCGGAACTAAGGTACTCCGAGATCGAGAAGTAGCAGCTCTGGTCTAATCTCACCATCTGATTGACATTCCAGAGGTGTTATTTCTCTGTAGAGGGTGACGAGGTTTCTCCTGAGAAGTGGCGACTCCCGAGCAGAGGTTGCTCCAGAGCCTGGACTCCTTCCAAGAGACAGAGTTTGTGTCGGAGCCAAAGTTACACTGCCGGAACCGAGGTGCTCCAAGAGACACAGAGTTTGCGTTGATTTCTCTTGAGACGAGACGACTCCGAGCTGAGATACTCCGAGCGTGTGAATCTCGTTCAAGAGCAGAGGTTTTCCCGAGAAGTGGCGACTCCCGAGCAGAGTGCTCCAGAGTCTGGACCCCTTCCAGAGACAGAGTTTGTGTCTGAGCCAAAGTTACACTACCGGAACTGAGGTGCTCCAAGAGACACAGAGTTTGCATTGTTCTCTTAAGACGAGACGACTCCGAGCTAAGATACTCCGAGCGTGTGAATCTCGTTCAAGAGCAGAGGTTTTTCCCGAGAAGTGGCGACTCCCAAGCAGAGAGTGCTCTAGAGGCTGGTACTCTTCCAAGAGAGAGAGAGTTGCGTGGTTTACCCAGAGACGAAGTGACTCCCGGAGCTGAGGTTGCTCCTTAAGCTGAACAAACTCCATACAGAAGATTAAGAGACGCAGTGACTCTTAGTGCTAAACAAGCTCCAGAGCAGAGACGACTCTTGAAGAGAAACTTGTATATTATATGGACATTTTGTTATTATATTGTAAAAACTTATGTTAGAATAGATTATAAAAACCCTGTACATAATTGTTTTGTGGAGCCATCTTCTATTGGTAACTGTCGTACCACCAAACCAGGTCGACACCCTTGAAACACCTCCAAAGATCCCTTTTCGTCGTCCCAGGCCTTTCCCCAGTATACAGGGTGCTCGGCGAATCAGCCCAGGCGCGACAATATATTCGAAGTAAGCTTACATTTCACTATTTGATTTTTATGTCACCACTAGAAGCTCGAAGTGGTGGAATATTGTTATAGTCTCCTACTTTATGTAGACGGTGTTCAGCGGTCGGAATCTGTAACAAATGGCAGGTGGCGACATTTTGCATGTTAATGCCTTGTCGACTTATGTGCCGTTTCGAAGCCTCAATTTCGGCTACTCAGACAAATAATGCTTCTAACATCCTCCAGACGCAATGGTCCAGACATCGTCCAATCTCTGTTCTATTCTTTCCTTTCCACAGAGTGGATGGTGCCTGGAGTGACACGTTTGGAGAATGTGCTTCTTACCTAATTATATTGACTTCCTTTCAAAAGGTATTCCAATTTTCATTGATATTCAAAATGCAGTGCTCTGACAACTGACAAAGTACATTTCAAAACTAATCGTAATGATTTAACATGATTCAGATTGATATAGATTGGATCATTTTTATTACACAAACACTCATGTTTAAGTTCTGAAAGCGTTTTAAAGTTCATATTATAAGATATAGGGTGGTAAAAAAACTGGAAACCCTAACACCATTTTCCTAATATCTTTGTCATTTTAAGAAATAAATTTGCACATTAGTACATCAGTCAATTTCCAACCTGCCTACCTTATTTCATGACCATCAGATTGAAAGTCACAGTGTTATAGCACTTAAAAGAACATAGTGTACATAGTGTTATGGTTGGTTGTAACAGGAACATGCAATGGAGAGTAAAAATGCGCATGATAATCTTCATTCTATTTACACTTGATTGAACCACAATGAGAGGTAACGTTTTGATTCCCAAGATGGTCGGGAAAAGTATGGATTGAGGGTCTGGCTAATTTACAGTTATACCAGTTTTCACATTTTACGTGTATTCAATTGTACAGTCCCCTTCAAATTGGCAACTTTTGAATCCTCCTCGGATATAGATATAAAGCCTGGTTATGACTTTGAATCTTTTCCACAATAAGTCGAAAATGACAAAGAAAAAGATCTTAAATTCAAAATAAATTAACAGGCTTCTATAATATCGTTCATTGGGGTTGTTAGTTATCAAACTTTTGGAGAGGAATGCACTGAATGCAGTGGTGCAGAGATTCCAACTTTTTCTAATCATGTCATTAATTTTCTAATATAACATAGATATATATAATACAGTGAACTCGATCTTAAAACTTTCAAAACATGAAATGTGCAGTGTTGAAATTGCTAGTCAGATATGTACACTCTCTGGGTCATGGTTGAAATAGGCTTGGGGACAATGGTAGGTGAATTCATGGACCAGGTAAGTAACAAGGAGGCTAAATTGTTCTAGACACAATACAATTAGCTACATTATACATTAGAAGCGCCATCTCCACCCGGCCATTCTACATCGCCATCACAGTGTCTATCCCACACGACTACAAAGCCGATCTCCGGAACATCGATCTCTTTGCAGCACAGAGACTCAGCCGACACAAGCGTATGGAACTCCTGTCCGCAGCGTCCCGGGTCATAATACACAACAACGCGGACGCCGGGAGGTGGTAGAGTCCTCAGATAGGCCTCGCATAACAACTGTCCAACTGTTCTCTGTCTCGTACCGACACCCCCTTCGACATCAATCAGGTTTGAAAATCCCCCCGGGTTCCAATATGATAACGCTTTTTCCGTACAGTCGATTCTACATCTGTCCATAACGTGTGCACAGCCGAAGCATTCTCCACCGTTTTGACCAGTAAGGTTATACAAAATGTCATCAATTTCGAAAAGGGTTTCACCAGGCTCTTTTTCACCAGCCGTAATGTTTGGCTCCACCGTGAAACGACAATGACAGCTGAAAATAATTAATACGATGGACCTCCAGATCATACAATCAATGTACAGTGTTCTCTAATGGGTAGAAATCACTATTATCTGACCACGGCACTGATCAACTCTTTCGCCCATCGTTCAGACAAAATGAGAGAACCCGGATATAAGTATCGCCCCGATTATACATTCCGATCCCTCTCAGTTATTGGGGTTTTTAAGGTTTGTAAGGCAAGGGATTAATTTGGAAACGCAATGCTGGTCAGTTATGTTCACGAATACTAGTATGTTCCAAAGAATGAGTTGGCATACCTACATGAATAAGCTAGCTTACCGTTCTTGAAAGTCACCATATCGTGGTAAAGGTGACGTTGGACTTGGCGCAGATGGGTCAACGGTGGTAGTAAAATTAAGGGTCGGAGGGTCTGTGACTAGAATATAGAAGTTAAAATTTATTAAGACAGGCATGGTATAATCATCAGCCTACAAGATTAGATAAGGCATTAACATTGTTTCAGACGCCGACAGGCAAACACCAACCGCCGATCATCGTCCATTAATATTTGGAGACGAGATGTTTTTGAATTAAAAAAATCGTTTTCCTAACCATCCTGTAGGGGCTTTGGGTTCAGTGATCTACTTATTGTATCAATATAGGTGTCTCTTGCACATACCTGCGGAGCAATCTTGATCTGGGTGAAGAAACCAATGACCGTCTGATATTGTATACGATCCAATACCAATGTACTTGAGATCAAGGGGATCCGTCGAGTCTGTATATGCCATAAGTTCGCGAACGCCTATACAGGTTCCCATACCAAGGGATAGCCGTACTCTGAAGTCACTCCCAGATCCGAAATTTTCCCATCTGATCCAGAAAGAAGCGAACTCGTCGCACGAGACAACTGTTGGTGTGTAAACCTGTACCAATCTAGGTCCGTTTTGTCCTCTTGCAATGAAGGAAAACCTAAAGCAAACGGAAATATGCAAGCGCAAGTGCCAAAAGATGAAGAACCAAAACACACTATTCAAAGAAACATAAGAGGGTAACCAATTATAAGGAAAACAAAACCCGAACCCCCAAAACTACGATCCAAGGCAAAGAGACACTGTGTGTATCACCCTTCCTCGACATCAAGGAAAAGTTATCACATCTTAAAATCCATTTATAGTAAGGTCAGTGAAAGAGCATCTTTACCAATCTCAGGACCTATCTGAAGCTCAGAACCCTGATATTGTGATTGAGTGAATCAATTGTTTATCCTGTATTATGCTGAGAATATAGAGTGCGCCACCATATACATATGACTGGCAGGATTTGTGGTTTTAAACCGTAATGTCGATTGAATAATATAATGCATATTTAAAAGAAAATAGTTAGAAGTACACTAATGGCAAAAGATAATGAGATTTTAAATCTCGAAATAAATCTTCATATTTCCATTCAGAGTAGTTCAAGGCTAGTGAAATGTTCCTGACCTATTGTCACCACCACTGATTTCTAGATGATACAGATTTCTGTAATCTCTGTCATTCATGTTAGGACTAAGGTATATCATAGCACCCCTACACGTTCTCACGTCAAAGGTGACATAGTTTTCGGTGGAATTTCTGAGATTCCATTTACTTCCGATATAGTATACTTTGTAATCGTTTTTGGTGTAAAATTCAGGTTCTGGATCAGCTGAAAATAGAATAAGTGCGCGTCAACTTTAATTTCAATTTAAAGGGTTTTTATTTGGTTGCATAAAGTCTCAGTCCCATTTGCTCTACGGCGGTCGTAGCGGACCGCAGCTTCAAAAATCGATATAGAAAATCTACATCGTACTTCTCTCGATTTTGGGAAGCTACGGTCGCCAACGGTTGCCGTAGATCAGAGGCCGTATGAGGGATAAGGAGGCCGCATGAGGCATAAGTAGCCCGAAATAGCCTGTACCTGTACATATTGTATTAGCACATGTCCTAAATAAAAATTTTAGAGCATAATTATCATTACTTCTGGGACGACACCCTGTATATGATACAAACGTGACTTACTAGTATTACCAGCTCCTTGTAGTGCCCGAGTACCCATGCCAGTCGGGAACCCATGGGCGTTGAGCCAGTGGCCATAAGAGAAGGCCGCAAATGTAGCATTTTTTGACCAATGAGTTATCTTCAAAGATCCATCATACCTGAGCAAATGGAAATAAAGAAAGGGATGTGAAATATGAAAAGAACTGGGTGTTGTTATTCTAATTAGTTTGCATTTGGAAAGCTAGAGGGAGAGAAACCGGGGAGAGAAACAAGAAACTACCAGAACGATGTTATATATAAAAAGGTGTGCAACAAAAACTCTTTATATATATTTTTTATTAAATCTGTTTTGTTGAATACTCGGGCCGGACATCATACCTTAACCCATCAACTATGGCAGCTGCGTAATTCGTCGACGGGATATTCTTCCACCCTGTTATGTACTCCCCGTTTAACATAAGCCCAGAGTAGCTGGAAACCACCGTCAGAAAGTTTGAGTAGTCTCTGTTAAACGTGTCCCTTTTAAATGTCGGAAACGTATGTTGGCCACTTGTGTATTGTCTCAAAGGTGGAACGATCATCATAAACGGACTGGTCCCGATGCGAGGGTTATCGACGTTGAATGCCCTGTTATATTGAACCAAAAGACATGGCTTTTCGCACTCGATGAATAGGTAAGATTCATCCTAAAAGATAAAATCAAATATTTTTTATTTTTTCAAGTTTTATATTATCTGAAATCAGTAAAAATGTAAATAAAAATAAAAGAGCTTTGGCACCAGGCAAAAATATGAATGTAAATACTGACCTGGCTATCAGGATTGACTCCCCAAAACTGCCCTTTTGATAGAACAGTAAACCTCGCCCCTTGTGAAGCACGATTATCATCTTCAGATGAAATAAGGCGGAATTGATTTCCATTTGGTCTTCCACCTATAGATCCTGTAACGAACTGATTGCCCCAGGCCTCCAATGGTGGGACTTGTTCAACCAATTGTCCACAGTTTGCAATACTCCATGGAATACGAGTACAATCTGATCCAGAGAGAACAGAGATAGGTTTATCCGATAAAACCATAGAACCTGTGATATCGAACAAATAGCGTGTGTATTGATATGTCTGTCTTTGATTTAGATTTATAGATATAGCTTGTGAATTGTCATAGCCCAAGCGTAACCTAGGTATGATCGTGACATTTGTGTCATCTTCAAAAGCTACGACGGCAATAGTTCCGTTTGCCTCTCTGGGGAGAAACCCAGCAACGATGTATTCCTGTTTCAATTCTGATTTGGGGAGAGCGAGATAGGAATCTGATTTCCTGCCAACACTTGCGACAACGACGGTTACATCAGCACTAGCTGAAATTTGAATACCCTTATTCTCAATTGCATTGGCTCCCAGTCTCATGTCAGTACCCAGAACACGTCTGAATGTGTTGCTAGGGGTAACAACAACAGTCTGGTCAATTCCCGGTCCAATGATTCTCACGGAGGAAGATGCAGACTCGGTGTTGACGACGATTTCTGTGTAACCACGCGTGGAATTGTTATAGTCGGACTGAAAGGCGACCATAAACTCTCGCCCTTTGTTACTGCTCTCTGAAAAACGAATTAAAAATTGTTGTGAAAAATAATTGTACTGATCAGGACATATTACTTGTCATGTTTGAATAAATATCAGCAGATTAAATGTGGAATATCATCAATACCTTGACCCGATGCACAAGCAGTGAAAATCCCACATATCAACAAAACTGACAGATACATTGTTGTTTTTGTTCCCACCAGTACAAATTGTAACTTGTAGGGTCGGTCAGTCAGAAATCCTTAGCTCTTGAAGTCCGTTCTGTTTTAAACTGCAAACTGTTTTATTTATAATTTGTACTTTAGAAGTACACATATTTCGATGACACATCAGTTGTTAACTGGGCGTAATTTAAGATGTGTTGGTTTTAAGTTATCAGAAGGTTTTACACGAACTAATGTGTAAATTGTCAATACGTATTGTCATCTAGGTACAATTGATGTTTTCGGTTGATAGCAAGTACTTACAACGCCTAAAGTACATGATATCATAGTGATGGGCATGAGGTTATTTTGATCTAACTTGTCTCCTCCACGAGCTTTCTCTGCGGCGTTGTCTCTCCTTGTCGATCATAGTATCAGTTATAAAAGTACAAAGGGAGGTCTCTGATGTTATCTGTGACAAAGTCAAAAATAAGGACGAGTTTCATGGGAATGGACAAGTATGAGGCAGGCGAGGCAATTACCTCATCAAATTAACAGAAATATGGCCAAGTATGAGATAGGCGAGGCAGAAATGTTTTTATATTCAAACGCTTTTTACAAGTAAAACTAAAGAAATGAAGTCCAAATTACCTCTATAATCCTAAGTTTCCATTGCCTTATTTTTAAACAATTTCTTTGCCTCTTTAATATAGTGTGTGTAGTTAAAAGAAATTGATAGCTTTTATATAAACTAGAAAATGGCAACTCCACGGAGTAGCAAATCCCAACGAACACTATATAAACTAGAAAAACAGCAACTCCACGGAGTAGCAAATCCCACCGAACGGCAGTTGAGTTACCAAAGATTACGAAAATGAAAATGAAAAATGGCAGCCATTCTGAAGATCAGCCGCCATCTTAAATTTTTTTCTCGAACAGAGCTACTGGCATCAGCATATAAAATTTGAACCAAATCTGTTCACTGGTATTTGACTTATCAAAGATTAAGTTTTTTCTTATAAAAAATGGCTACCATTTTGAAATTAAGCCGCCATCTTGAAATAATTTTCTCGAACAGATCTACTGTGTCCCTAAGAATCATCATATAAAAAAGCCAAATCTGTTCACTGGTATTTGAGTTATCAAAGATTACGTTTTTTACGAAAAATGGCGTCCATTTTGAAATTCAGCCGCCGTCTTGAAAATTCTTTCTCGAACAGATCTCCTTTGTCCCTAGGCATCATCATATAAAATTTGAGCCAAATCCGTTCACTGGTATTTGAGTTATCAAAGATTACGTTTTTTACGAAAAATGGCCGCCATTTTAAATATCAAGCCGCCATCTTGAAAATTCTTTCTTGAACAGATCTATTGTGTCCCTAGGCATTATCATATAAAATTTGAGCCAAATCCGTTCACTGGTATTTGAGTTATCAAAGATTACGTTATTTTACGAAAAATGGCCGCCATTTTAAAATCTAGCCGCCATCTTTAAAATTTTTACTCGAACATATCTACTGTGTCCCTAGGCATCAGCATATAAAATTTGAACCAAATCCGCAAACTTGTATTTGAGTTATTAAAGATTACATTTTTTAAGAAAAATGGCGGCCATTTTGAATTCAGTGGCCATATTGAAAATTCCTTCTCGAGCAGAGGTCCTACACCCATAAGGTATAAGCCTATAAAATTTGAATCAAATCCGTGAAACGGTATTTGAGTTATCACCCGGATAAACAGACGGACGGACAGACGGACGGCTTTCCTATATCCCTCTCGAGCTTCGTTCGGTGGGATAATCATCAATCTGTACAGTCACAATGTAATATTTACCATCTACTCTTACCTTCAATAAATATTTTAATCATTGTAGTATCATGTAACAATGCTTTCAAGATAACTCTAATATGGCGAATTTCTGCTCTAGTCAGCCATTTTGAATTTTCAGAGGCACAAATCAGAAAAACAATGCCATAATTGTGATCTACTCTGAAATACCTTCAATTTGAGTATAATATAGCCATACTTTTAAGAGATCAGAAAATAATTGCGAAATCCCGTATTAGGCGGCCATTTTGAATTTTTTGATGCCCGAATCCGAAAAACACGATAATATTTGCAATCTACTCTAAATTGCCTTTCATTTGAGTATAATAAAGCTATACTTCAAAAACATCTCAAAATTAACGCAAATTCCTGTTTTTCCCAATCCCCATTTACGGCCCCTGGGGGTCAGGTCGAAATACCCGGGATATATGTGAAATAGATAGATTTTGCTAATATACTACCAAAATTTCAAATAATAATATTTATTATTTTGGTTTAAATGAAAAACATAAGATTTTTGCGAAAAATTCCCGCTATTTTTAAACTGGCGGCCATTTTGAAAAAAAAAATTTGCGTAAAATTATTAACCAATATACATCTTTCCACTAAATATGAAGAAAATCTGTCAACTAGTATTCAAGTTATCTTCCGGACAGACGGACTGACGGACTGACTGACGGACGGCTTCACTATATCCCTACAGAACTTCGTTCGTTGGGATAATAAAAGGTACTTTTATATACTGTATACTGTATACGGTCACACCCCATTCTCCTATACGTCGTAGCACCGGAAGTTTACGACATTACCCAGCATTTTCCCCAAGAGATTTGTAAGTACTCATTTATTTCGACGTTTTGGCAGAATATAGTCCTTTCCCTTTCGTAGAAACATTGACCATACCATGCAGATATACATTTAGTATCACTACGTCTCGACATTGCGCCCGAACACGGTCTAGAACTTCACAAACATTCTAGAAAGCACGACAATTTCTTGAAAAATAAAGACAATTTTTCACGAAAATCATCATAGTTTCTACAATTTTAGCCCTATCATCTTGAAACATTGATAAGATTAACAATACAATTTTTACATATCATCCGGACACTTCTGTTTCCCAAATTAATGAAAGAATTCTGAGAAATTAACTTTTCTTTGAAAGTATATGACTAAAGGAGGTATACGACGTTGAGGGAATTGGATATCTACAATGAAATGTCAAAAGGTCAGAGTCCCGTAGCTAGACGAGTAAAGTAATTATGATTCAAAGTGCAAAATATAGAAAGCTTGCTTGGTTGACCTAATTCTGCCTTTATCATACGCAGCTGCAACTTATTGGACAAAAGACATTCATTTATTTATTATGACAAGTATGAAGTGATATTTATTGAATAAAGATGACTTTTATGAAGTGGTGATACAATGCTTTCTTGTATAAAAACATGCAGTATAAAACAACAGAGATCTAGATCCCATTTGAGATACATGGAATATCAAACGTTTCATATTTTGAAAATATACTCATATTTGTTTAGTTCACAAAAATATTTTACCATATTGAATGAACAGGAACTTTATAGCATGGAATGAGTATGTCGTGTAATAATGTTCATCTGGTCAGTCGATAACTGAGTTCATGGTACATTTGATAAATCAATCATCTTTGGCAATGACCCATTTTCTTAATATAAAAATATTTGTGCAATCAATGTCCTTTTTTACTGCATCTCTATATATCATTCACACTCACAAAATCCAGTTCCAAAGTTCCCTCGGTTCATCTTTAACAATTCTTACAAGAAACCAAGTCAAAATATTGCCTTTTCCACACAAAACTAATCACATTTGGGATGAGAGGATTTGACCCAGATCACTTGAGAAAAAAATGCTTTTTACAATATTTTCCTTCTGTGATAATATAATATTAATCATTTTGTATGCAATAGCAGGTTAAATAGCAGTATGTAGATGAATTCTTAACACTGAAAACATTTACACTTGCAGACGGGGGGGGGGGGGAGTGGGCATCTAGAGTTACGCATAACTAGTTTTGTGCAGAATTGATATTACTGTAATATTTTGAAACTAAAGTTTACAAGAACGATAAAGTATAATTTGTTGAGGTAAACTTGTGAAATCTGGTAAATTGTAAGTATTTGCATTGCTCTGTATGGTGATCTTGTTCTATCGTTTCTTCTGCTTGACTGGAGTGGCACTGACAACTGGAGCGTATATGTTCTGCGAGATACGGTTGATGTAGTATAAGGCAACCATTGAGAATATAAAACTGAAAGTAGAAATATAAATATTCTCATTAATCTGTATAAATAAATGCATCCATCTTGGTTGTACTTTGGATATATTGACTGAGTTTACAGTATTTTTGTTCAGACTGGATAAAACCATCTACACACCAATTTTTCACATCATATTTTGTGGTTTTATTTTGGACCACCAATAGATGAACGAATAATAAAAAATTGGTAGGAACATATATATTGTATTGAGAGTTAAGAGATGATTTACTAAAACATTTCCCATTCAATCAAAAGCTAATGGATATTCTAATAATAAGCTAAGTGGCTCACGAGTCATCTCTTTAATAATTTTTTTTATTTATGTCCTTGTATTCTAGTTCTTGTTAATTTTCAATGTGCCACATAAACTTTATTCTTATGTCTTCAAATACATAACAGGAAGAAATACATGTCCCATGGTACTTATTACTTAACATATTATCATAGACATTACTAAGTTAGAAGGAATTGTATACTAACCATGTTGTCACACAGACCCTATGTACCAGCCCTGATGCAAACAAGGCAACAGCTAGGCAGAATATAACTGAAAATAATTTAACAAAATTTCAAAGTCTGATTATTCACATTACATACATTGTACAATTACTAATATAGAACAAATTAAATGTGTGTTTCTCTAGTCTTGTATCAACCTCTTCCCATACAAAAGTAACAAAACAAGGCATTAATATGGCAAATGTCACTCTACAAGTTATTGTTAATAGTTAACAGTACAACAACTGGTTTACAGAGTGCTGACAGTTTATACTGAACATTTAGGACAGTCACAAAAAATGGTGGCTATAAAAACCATGTAAGTCATCACTTTGAGTTGGATAACATAGTCCAGGATATCAGTATAAATTCTTCAATACTTCAATTCAAGAATTCCAAATGGTCTAAAAAATAATGCAATATAAATATATAACTTGGACGGTACGTTATAAAACTTGTGAAACTCACCTTCAGGAAAAAGTTTAGCTTGGAATCCACTTCCAAATAATGTACTTTCTAGATTACCTACTGCCTGGTTATGTGTTAAGGACCATATACAAGAAACAATTTACAAATATATTTCATACTATTAGTTAGTTACAGAAATGGTATTTCGAAAAACAGTTAAGATCTGCACTTTAACCCAAACCGTTTCTGGTAGAAAAGAAAAATCGTACCTTCGACGTTCCGACATTTTGTTACAGAAATGAACCGTTTCGGTAACCAGCGCAATTGAGCAGATGAGGGTGATGAACTTTGAGCAAACTGATGTTTTCATCGTTTCAGAAAGATCTGGTCAAGTTTCTAGATATCTTTTATATGTAAATGTCTGTAATAAAAGGTAGTATGCAGTATAACGTCCTTAAACAATTTGACACCATCTGAGTGAAAAATTGTTGTTTTCTTGTGGAGTTAGAGGCTAAAATTGACACCAAGGGTGTCATGAGCAACCAAAAAATTGTTCACTGTGGATTTCCAAATTGTGGAAAATGAAGGGAAGTTTGAACTTTGACACCTTCAAAAGAGGTACATAATACAAGTATATTGCAAAATTCAGCAATAATATTTTTACAGTTTTAATTAATTATTAATTGTGTATTACTCTTAAATAAATTTATGATGATTCAATCAAGCATATTGAGTGCAGCCTAATGACTGCAATATGGAGGGAAATTTGGGAATTTTCATTTTTTGATTTCTGGTCGCTCACGGACCCCCCTGGTGTCAATTTTAGTCTCTAACTTCACAAGAAAACAAAGATTTTTCAATTGGATGGTGTCATTTTGTTAGGAAATGATTAATCTTTAAAATGATATATATTACATGGCATGGTTTAAACATATATCATATTAGGCCCATATTTGTTTTTTTGGCCCACCACATATATATTTCAATCAAAAGGATACAGTGAGAAGAAGTATGAAAAGGCCACTGCCAAGGAAGCCTCCAAGAATGGTGAGCAACTCTGTTGATCCTAGCTGGTTTCTGTACACCTGCATGCCAGCAAATGTAATCACTGTTAGGATACTGGAGACTGTGAACGATACACCACTCGATAAAGCTGCAATGCAAAACAAAATTGTGAACCTACAGAGAGCAAAATGTGGGTGCCTTCTATGAACTTCAAATTTTTTCTTAGTACTCTACAGTAACTCTTGCCAGTTGCTCAATGTAGAAGAATTAGTAAAAATGAGTAAGAAATGTGGATCTTTGCCGAAATAACCCCATGGTCAAAGTAGCCCCAAGACGAAGTAACCTGTACGGCAATGTTTGTTGCATTTCTCCTAAACGACCAGGAAGTTTTTGAATCATAGGCCCTGGAACACTGAAAAATCGAGTCATATATACAAAGTAAAGAGATCTCTTTACTGGCCTTTATTTGGTGTATTTTGACTCAATTTTTATACATGTTCCCGGGCCTATGTTTTGAATAGGACGACATGATCTGAACGGATGCTAGGATTCGATCACAGAGAGCTTGTTATATATTATCCCGTGCCAGGACTATAGTCTGTCCCCTCAGTTTTATGCGATTACGCGCCCGCAGCATAATTCCGCATATTTTACCTTTGCCCGCATAATCCACACACAAGCGCATAAAGTTGCATAAAAGACAAAAATCCCCACTTACTTGCAAAAAATGCCAACTCGGCCATTGATTTATAGATTAACCTGGAATGAATATGCGTTACTTGAACAGTTCCTTATCAAAATAATGACAAAATTAAAAGAAATCATAGTTCTACGTTCAAAACTTTTTAGCGGAAGCTCAGCGATGGGGTGTATTTTGCGGACAACGATCCGGATCCGGCAGTTTATCTCACTGCACATATGCCGTGTCTTTGTTCAGTTATGCATATCACGAGAATATATGTTATATCATTTCGAAACAACAGCTATTAAACATGTTAAAGGTAGCTTTATTTTTAATCTATGAACTGCTGAATCATGACTATGATACTGATCCTAACTGTTTTTTCTGACTACGAGTTCAACAGCTGCCACATTCGTCAACTATCCGCACTTTGCCCTTTTCACAACATACTTCCGGTCACGAAATTCGAAAAGGACGAGGCTGAGGAAGTGAGGCTCTGACTCTGAAATGACACTACTTTAGATGTGTTTCATTAAATATTTGGAATAAAAAGTATTATGAAGCACTGAAGCCATTATTTCATTCAATTTCTTGTGTTAAATCGATCGCATATTTTTGCATAATTCAACAAAATGAAAATCGCATCAATTTGCATAATATCCAGAATTTTAAGAAGTCCATCGCATAATTTGAGATTTTTTTTTGCATTAAACTGAGGGGACAGTATAGTCCTGTGAACATCTCAATCTTTTGCCTGTGCGATTATAACATGGGAGAATTTTTTACGCTTCTTACACTTCAGAACGAAGAAATTTTCGTTTTTGATCGTAATATTTAACTTATTTCAACCGTCAAATTCCTCCATTTTTGGTACTTCCGGGCCACATCAGGGACAGTCAAACGGGGAATCCCCTTTTAAATCCAACCACCATCTTGAAAAGTGATGGAATCTCTCTCGATGAAAAAGAAAAAAGTTCGCGTTCTGCCGATATACCCAGACAATCGGCGGTTCCAATATATTAGAAGTTACATTTTGAGTTCTACAAGGCAATGAGGTAGGTATCTTAAGTGTAAGGGGCGTAGATAATTCTCCCAAGTTGTAATCGTACAGGCAAAAGAATGCACTCGATACAAGACTATAGTCCTGGTACGGGATAAGTTATATACATTTTTACGATACAAATCATATGTAAAAAGCTCTCTGTGGATTCGATGGGCTGAGATAAAGGGAGAAAAAGTAGTTTGTTTTCGCCCACTGATTGAACGATCTGAACTGAAGGGAAAAATATTTCATTTTATTCCATTTTCAGATCTTTTGACTTTGAAAAATAACTCTCAATAGATAAATTCACGTTTATAATAAATGCATAATCTTTATTGATATAATTGAGCGAAACTTGGAATGAATAGGATCATTCGTAACATAATTAAATCGCTATTATACATGGAATATATAGAATAAACAGCAATTCTTACCCATTTTTGAGATTTATACTCGTACTCGTGGACACATCCGGGGACTTGCCGGTGAAGTGGACCAATCAAAATCAGGTATTTCAAGGTCAAGGTCGTTGTAAATTTATTTGAAAAAATACAAGATTGAATAATTTCTAGTTAGATTTGGTTAAAAATAGAGTGCATTGTGTCACTATTGCAGTGAAACATATATAAGAGCTGTTCGGACTATATTTGATTATGTTCTCACGGACGTTTGCATCAAATGTTGGGAATAAACAACAAAATATAAGGTAGGTGGACTTCGAACTCTTTTGTGGGTGATAGATCTAATAGAGGTCAACAACAGTGTTCTAGGTTCAAAGTGATCAGCATTTCTTTAGGTTATACATTTAAAAAAAAATTCTCATTCAAAATAAGTTGCAAATACATGTTTTATGGAGGGTCATTACAGATGCATGAAACCCTATTTATGCCCAGTAGAGGCTTTTATAATCTATTGTATTTTGTATATTTGTAGGAGTATCAGTACCAGCATGCAGACCAAGTTTTACGAGGGACAAAGTGTAGAACGCTATATGGATGGAGCCGCATCTGGGAGAACAGAAGAACTGAGTCTTCTGTTAAAAGGTCAGCACAGTTTATGGTAATGCTGGTACAGAAATCAATAATAATGTAGAGCAACAACCTCGTCATAATTTCATGGAAATAATTTATTATTCTGTTAAAACATACAAACAGAAAATCTGTTATAAATTTTTTTTTATAAAATTCAAAAAAGAATCTTAAAAAGTGTTTGCCCTGCTTTTGTCACAATCGCAGCCCCCCCCCCCGCGACTGAAGACCTGATAGTCTGCAACTATCAGCTATAGTGTGTGACTGTCTGATAATAGATATAGATGTATATTAAAATACAGTGTCCATACTTCCAGGTGGAGTTAACATTGACATGAAGAATGAAAAAGGGTGGACTGCTCTTATGTTTGCTGCTAGGAATGGTCAGATTCCTACTATTAAACTTCTTATGGAGAATGGGTGAGGAAGTAAAAATATAAACCATAGGCACTTGGTTGTCAGAGAGATGGCGATATTGGTCTGCTTGATTAATTGTATTTATAATGGAAGATGTAAATATATAGTCAGACTCCTATCCCCATCTTTCTGTTGTCCTCATATGACATTTAGCCAAAATTGTTTTAGGCAGCAAAGGTAAAATTAGAAAATCTCTGCGTGAAACGTTTTGACATAAAACTTAAATAAGTGCATGGCTAGTTAAGGTTAATTTTGCAATTTGACTTTGGATCATTGGTATTGAATTCTACAGGGCATATTTACAGCCCAAAATTTATTTTCTGTGAATGCTTGTTTCTTGATTTTAAATAATTACATGTATTACATGCACCTTTCAGTTGTGATGTCAATCTAATGAATGCAACTGGTCAGACTGCTGTTGACATAGCAACCTTCTGGAATCACAAAGAGGCTGCTGACCTTATTACAAAACAATTGAAGGACTCCAGAGTTGAAGACAATAAACAATTTGTCAATTACTTTGGACACAGTACATTGGACCGTGCTGCTGAAAAACGCAAAAACACTAAATGGTTAAAAAACACAATGGAAAATGAGAACACTACCTTTATATGTTTCCATGGCAACAGTGCGCTTGTTGTACCAAACACAGATACATCATTACCAAAAAGTGTCAAATTTTGTCTTTACCATGTGCAGTATTCAAACATTGCTAAACACCTTAACACTGATCCACTCGTGATCTTCCTGGGTCATGAGTACAACAATGAAGAAAAAGCCTGGTTTGCAGTAGATATATCAAGTATCTCTAAGAGTGTATATACTAGCTGGGACAAAGATCTAGAGCTTCTAGCAGCCTATCCTGGTGGTATGATGCTTAGGAAAGAAGATGCTTCATTGTTGGCGCAAGCCAGGTGAGTTTATAAATACAGATGTGTGTCAGAAGGGTGGGTAGTGCCATATGCATACAACATGTACATAAACTAGGTTGATCATTTAATTCTGAGAAAAACCTCTTAAATTTAAAGTTTACTGCGCCTACTGGGTTTCATTTGGTATCCATTTTTTGGAGGAGAAGAATATTGAAATATGCGTTTAGATACATGTATAATCATATGATAATAAGCAAGGGCAATATTTCAAATGTCAATCAAATATTCTCATTTTATTTTATTATCACACTTTCACTTCATCTGTGAAAATATCAGTACAATATCAATCAATATCAAAATACTAGTATCATAAAAACACAGAAAGGAGTAATATTAATCAGAACATATGGATCGCCCGTTTTATAAATATCATTCATACGACATATGATGACATAAACATAGGATTGTCTCTCTTTCAGAGCACTTTTTGCTTGGCATGAGAGGTATCAGTTCTGTGCCACGTGTGGTAGCCCAACAGTGGTAGAGGAATGTGGTTACAAGAGAAGATGTCAGGATAAAGAATGCAAGAGCCAGAAAGGTGTGTAATTAGTTTAGCTTTAGTGCACAGCATTTGACAGTCAATCTTCTTTTGTGCCACTCTGATTTTGGATAGCTTGCCAAGTTCTTAAACAACAATAGAAAAATAATGCACATAATGCACACCTCTTTGTTACAGTACCAAACTGTTTCAAAATCAAACTTTAAATGATTTATTTTATAATTAAAATCAAACATCAAAAATATTATGTAAAAAGATAATTAAGTGAGTCAGAGACTCTGAAAACCTTGGTTAAAAAATATTCTCCCAACCGTATATTGTATCTTGAAGTGCTTATCATAGTATTGAGAATATGATATCTAGAGATGAAGTTGAAATATCTCTTTTTACTTTAGGTGTTCACAATACAAGCTACCCCAGAGTGGATCCAGTAGTCATAATGCTAGTTGAGTCACAAGATGGCAAAAGTTGTTTACTTGGGAGGCAAAAAAGATTTCCACATGGGATGTGGTCATGTTTGGCTGGCTTTGTAGAGCCAGGGGAAACCATAGAAGATGCCTGCCGGAGGGAAGTCTTCGAGGAAAGTGGCATAAAAGTGGGCTATGTGGAGTACCACTCATGCCAGCCCTGGCCAAATCCTAGCCAGCTCATGATTGGTTGTTTAGGACGAGCCACCTCAAGCAAGATTCAGGTATCAAGTATTCTACAGACAATTGTAAAACAGGTAATTTGAAGCACAAAATTCATGAATTCATGATTTATATGTCTAATAATGAATCATGTGATTTGACTAAAATGTGAACTAAAAAAGATGATGCAAGCAAAATTATATAATATGACTTTTGTGCCATTGGAGAAATCATTCTATATTTTATCACATTTCTGTTTTACATAATTCAAAATGTACTTTATGCCTTAATTATAATGTTTCAATGATACTGTATAAGAATCACTTTAAGGCCATTTTTACACTAACAAAGTAATCTTGTTTTATGAGGTAGTTAATGGTTGAAGACAACACTACAATGCACTGATCATATGATGTCATGTGATTTCATAAAATGGTATCCTGTGATTTAATTGGATAATGTAACATTATTCAACTGTTATTAAATATAATTCTAGGATAACTGTCATAGTGGAGCATTGGCGTCGGAAGGGGGAGGGCATTGGGGGCGACCCCCCTTTTCCCAGATTTTTTTAGATTTGAAACCAAGCCTAGGATTGAAAGCTAAATTTTCTGGGGGCATGCCCCTGATCCCCCTAGATTGCAGAAGCTTGCGGCGCGCTACACGCACGACCCATCCACATCCAAAAGTCGCCCCTCCCCTCGGCAAATCCTTCTGACGCCCTTGTGGAGTGATATCACCTTATGTAAGATGTAATTAATATTGATATCATGTGATTCCAGGTGGATTATGAAGAGTTAGAAGATGCCCAATGGTTCTCCAGGGAAACAATACTACAGATGTTGGCACGGCAACACAAAGAGAAGCTGTTTGTTCCTCCAGAACAAGCAATTGCACACACTCTCATAAAACATTGGGTAAAAATGACTAATGCTAATCTATGATCCTTGATGATCAAAGTGGTCGTAATATGGAATTCTTATTCCTTGTCCTACTAGTCAGATACGTTCACTGAGGTCACATTAGTTAGCACATTGGACATAGCAGATTGTAGTCATCAAATAAAATGCTTGGTTACATACATTTCTGAAACATTGAAAATCCTACCTGTAAATCCATTGTTGAAACAATCAAATAAGGCATCATGGAAGGAGAACAATATAGTTTGGATTTCACAAATGCTGGTAATGTTTCCCAGATCATTATTCATTTGATATTGAATCAAAATGAAGACTTGGAACAGCTAGGTGTGACCCCTGTGAAATTGTCTTTTGACACGGTAACTTGCTCCAAACAACTACATTTTGATAATCATACACTCTGTACAGTATAGTTAGTACTTTACCTAAAGCGCACAATGCAACACAACATTGCATAGTATCCAAATTATACAATTTAATATACTGTTATTTCTGTAATTAATATTATATTTTATAAATTCTCTTAATGAAGACCATAAATTAAGTGCAGTATTAATGTGTTAAATGTACTACATGTTATATGAATACTAGTACATATATAGTTTTACCAGATGAAAAATACTGATTAAATAAATACAACAATGATAATATCATATCTTTTGTTATATTTCCCAATGATTTTCCCAATGTAGTTATTTTATGTCCATTTTGCCATATCATCATTCTGAACTAAAATATATTTCTGAATCATCTGGAAGTTATCAAATTGTAAACAAGACAGTGGTAGTCCATTGGAGGCTAATCCATTGGATTGCAAATATCTGACAATGTGGCATGTCTCCCTGAAGATATTTTGCACATGAAATGAACCGAACAGTAGGAAAAAATGTCGCAAATTGTAATTTACGAACCAGATATTAAACATGCAAAATATCACAACCTGCCATTTGTTACAGATGCTGAATACTGAGCACAAATGTCTGAACACCAAAATGTCCACTAAAAGTTGGAAACTAACACAGTATGTCCACACTTCTACTGGTGACAAAAACTATCTATGCTAGTCACAAAAATAATGGTATTAATTCTTTAACAATATGTCACCACGTGGAGGCGACATAACAAAATAAAAACAAAGTAATTTATGGAATTCTAAAAAAGCTATTTATTGCTAAATAAACTCACTTGGTACGGAATGTTCTGTTGGATATCACAACCATATTATAATTTTCAGAACTTGATATGTTAATGTTAGTTTCATATAATAAGACTCACATATATCTAAGTCACATACATTATTAGCAATACGTACATACAATTGAGGTACTAACAATCAGAATTTACCTTTTTATTTTTTATATATTGGCAAGATTAGCTTATGGGAACCAATTTTCGTAAAATACATGAATGTCCAATAAAAACTTTAGAGTTAAAATATTCTTCCTGACAATTGTTATTCGGTCTTGGTATGGGCTCTACATATATATATATGTACAGGATAATACCTTACTTAAGCAATCCAAGGACGTACAACATGCACACCTAGCCCCATAACCCATTCACAGGGTTCTCACAAGAATTATTTCCAACAAGCTTTCGTTCTGATTAAATTACATCTTCTAATTGCACTGATCCAAAAGATCAACAAGGCATTAACATACAAAATGTCACCACCTGCCATTTGTTTCAGAAGTCAAGCTCTGAATACCAACTGCTGAACTCTGTAATAAAAATTGGAGACTATAACAATATGTCATTGTCAGCACTTATGGTGGTGACATAAAATAACCTATTCCCATTTTGACAGAATCTTTGGAATGTGTTCTTGGGGCCTATTTTCAAAGAGTGAATTTTTCAAACATTTTATACTACAAACATTCTGAATGATCTCATTAAAATAAAACTGACACTAATAAGTTATAGTCTTAAACATGTATTGAGAACCCTTCCTACTGAATATATAAGCATTATATAATATTACATTAAATATACAAGAATACTGTACAGTATAAATATTTACAATTTGGTTTATAAAATATTAGATTGTTCCCGTGGATTTAATCCTTTAAATAATGAATACTTAATGCATGGTAAGGAGGTATGCAAGATCTTGAGGATTTTCACATATAACATCTTTAAAACGTTCATAAATGGCCATAAAAAGGAATGATCTGACATATTTACAATTTCAACCTGATACGTAAAAGTTATGATATATGGCACCACTATATCATCATATATTATAATATACAAGATTGTTACCACATCAAAATTCTAAAATTAAACTCAGGCTCCTACAATATCCATGTTTAGTTTTGTCTTTGATAGGGGATTAGTAACACAATGCTTTGAAAATGTGTAGAACTTGTGGGAGTGGAATGCCCTAGGGACCACATAAAAGTGTTCCACCTGTGAGGTGCTCCACTTACAGAGGTTCATTAACATAGAGTCATCAGGCCGCGTTCCACCTGTGAGGTGTTCCACTTACAGAGGTTCATTAACATAGAGTCATCAAGCCATGTTCCACTTAAACAGTTTCTACTCTACATGTAACAGCTCAGAATATTTTCAAAATAATACAAAATTCAATTTCTCCCCTCTGATACCTGAATTCTGTACTGAACTGTGAAGGTCAATGAAAGTGTAGATTTGTATATAGATGTAGGAGCCTTTTTAACATACATGACATCACATATCAAAATATCCAGAAATGACTTCTAGAATCAATGGTGGATTGTATGAAACTAAAATATGTTTCAAACTATGGAATGCCTCTTCTAAAATATATATAAGATTAATTGTCAAAAGCTAAAAGGAATTTATACACATTGATATTACAATGATTAGCGAATTATCTTATACATTCATAAATACTTTATACAGTTAATACAATTATAATTAATTACTATGAATTGTTAAGGAAATTATGTCATAGTCTTATCCCATAGTTTAAACATTTTATAGAGAATCATCAAACTAGAAAAATTAGTATATAACTCCCCCAAATGCAATCCATAATAAAATCTGTTTAATCAATGATGGAAAAACTAAATGAAAATCACCCTGTAGATGATTAGATATAGTGATTGCTACTACAGTATATGTACATGTAATATAAAATATGATCTATACAGTATATAAAAGTATTACACATCTCAAGCGAAGCATTTATTGGAGGTCAATGGGAAAGTAAGCGGGCTATATCCACCGATATTGCCTGCTTACGTCAATATTGCCCACTTTCTCTAATAACCATGACAATATCATGACATCCGTCATGTTTCATTTCTATCAAATTCTACTCGCACACAGAAGTGTGACACCATTCATACAAAGTAGAAATGAGAATAAAGGAATGTAATATATCAGTTATGTCACTATGCAGTGAAATATGCCTTCGTTCTTGCCCAAATATGGAGCCTCCCTTATGTCATATATCTTCCAAACTCAGGAATATTTCATGTCATAGTGACATTAACTTCTAATTATGCGCCCGGAATGTCCACCCATGCTACTACTTAAAAAAAGTACCTGATATGAATTCTAATATAAATATAACGGCAAAACTCTAAAGAAGAGTGAAGAATAAGAATGTATGTTTTTTCGAAATGTACTTTCAACTCATCTCTGCAATTCATCCCTCTTCCTACCTTTAATGAGCAAAATCCTTCAATTTTTATGAACGAGTGCTGTAGCATCTTTTTTAAATCCCCTTGTTTCAAGACCCTTCAATAATATAGTAATCTTGGAAGAACAATATGTGCCATGTGTTCTACAATCAAAGACAGAATTTTCATTGTAATCTTGTGCATAATGTGATATTGACCCTACACATGTTCCTGTATTCTTCCAAATAATGAGATAAATATTATTTGAATTTGCATCCCACAACCTTTGCTATATCTGTATATCCCACTTATATTTTGTACTTCTGAGATTGCCAATGTACATGGGAAACTCACTGTTTCATGAAGTCATTACTTTATGATATAACATGGGATTAGAAATCCCAATATTCCGTTATTCAATGAAATAAGGGAATTAATTCAATTATGAGCCATTACATACCCTAAAATAAAGGATAACTAATCTCATAACAGGCATGGAACCCATTGGCACATTTTACTCCAAGGAAAATATTGGGAGTCCAAGAATATGCATATCTTAGAAATTTTCACTCTAAAACTGTATCCATAATTAGCAGGGATCTGTAGACACATTGAGCACTTTCTACTCAAACCCTGAATTGGGTCAAAGTGAGTACTCTTATATTTCAATTCCTCCACTAACTTGGCCTCCATATGATGGATCATAGTTATTAGCAGGGGTCTGAGGACTCCTTGGACCATTCCTGTCTAAACCCTGATCTAAGCTCTGGTCTAAATCTGGCTCTACTGCCCGCATCATGTCTATGTAGATATTGCTGTTCTGTAAGAGGTCCTCTATTGAGAGGCATAGTTCATTGAAGCCTGGTCTCTGATCAGGTCTTGTACTCCAACAATGGTACATAACATTATAACTGAAATAAAATAACATGTTATCAGCCAATTTGTAAAAATTAAAAGTAAGTAACACCTGGTAAAAAAGTACTGGGTGAAAAGGGCAAACTAAAAAAACACATGGAATAAGTGTATCCAATCATTATCTACTACAATATATTAATATGTCATAAACTAACAACTGTGTGACACATTATCGAGTCACCCTGTACAAAGGTTTCTGCTGGATGTTTCATAATGCTCCCTCTCATGCTAGTCCAAACCACATGTTGCATGAAGCAAGTTATGAACACCTTATTCACCATCAACACAAGCAGTATAAGAGTAAACTTACACTTCTCTCCTGCAATGACGTGGTTTCTCCAGCCTATAGCCACTTTCTATCAAGTTAATCACCTCAGAGTCGGGCATATTACTGAATGGTATGGCACCTAAACACAACAAACCCAGTGTTCATAAAAATGTGAATGCAAAGCTGTATAATGAAATCCTAAACAAAAAGCTGTAAATAGTATATTACATGTATGTCATGTAGAAATGTCTGAGGGTTTTGCCACAAAAATCAATTTTTTTAGAAAAGGAGCATGAAAATCAACATTTCTTTGTCATCTTCTTGTTCACAGAACATAAGGCTATTTCAAGTATTAGTGGAGCCAGATGGGCACTTATTAGAGTTATCATTAAAAGTCAACATTTATAATTATGGGTATTTATCAAATTCCATGACAAAATATGTTTATTTGTGTCAGCTAGCAGCTATTCAGAATTTATTTAAAAAATCAAAAATGTTTAGTGTTTATTAAGTACCTAGATTGACAATCTCCCACAATGTGACACCATATGACCATACATCACTATGGGCTGTATAAATGTCATCAAACAATGCCTCTGGAGCCATCCACCTGATGGGGAGGGGGCCCTGTAACATGGATGAATACATTAAATCAATGGCTGACATACTGTCAGTACGCAATGGTGCATTTTTGTTGAAGCGTGTGATTGATATTAATACTTCAGAACTAAATCACAAAAGCCGAGCATTTGAAACACTTGTGATTTTCAACAGTCTACTCAAATTCTGAATAAAACGTTCTTTATTATTTCAAAACTCTATATTTTTACAAGATCCAAAAGAAATAAAATTAAAACTTTTGACTCTTACCCTAGATTCTCGTTTGTACATATGATACTCCATGATATCTTTTGAGTAACCATAATCGGTAATCTTACATGTAAGATTGTCACCTAGCAGAACACTACGACATGTTAGACCCCTGTGTAACATCTGAAACAGGACACAATAAAAATATGGATGCAAAATAAAAATTCAGAAATTTAAAAGACAGCTTGGAAGCAATTCCTCATGCAAATATAGCTAAAGCTTCTTCCCAATATCAGTTGTGTGAAAATTATTGGTTAATAAATTGAAAAATTGTTTCTTTAAAGGTGAATGTTTTATAAAAATATTAAAACAAAAATAATATTATCTCCATTATGCCCATTATTTTAAGATTAATGATGGTCCATAGTTCAGCAATTAGTAGGAAATGTATACCAAAAGTAAAAAAAGGCCCTGGCATCCCCTTCACCGGGAGGATAATTACACCTAATTGATCTTCATTAGATATTTCCAAAATGTTCTTGTAAAAATCATAACTTAACAAAAAGAATCATCCTACATACTTGCCCTCTGCTGGAAATGATCCAAGTTTAAGAATGACATAAAAGTTTTAGTAAATGTTTTTGGGTAACGGTACCTTTAATGATGATATGTGTGCCATGCCTTTAGCTATTTGCCAGGCAAAGGAAAGCAGATCTTGAGCTGTAAGGGTGGTAGGGTTGCTACGTAGGTATGACTGCAGATTACCAAATGTTCCAAGTTCCATCACAACAAGAAGTGGGTCTGCAAACAAATCATAATGAAACATCTAATTTAATTCATGACTAGAAAATATTACTAAAGCATATATTTCATTCTTTTTAATTGGTCAGCTATTCTTTCAGAATGTTTGAAGATAACTACAATAGCATTCATTGTTTAATCATTCTAATTAAAATGTTATTCTTGTCCATGATTTTCTAAGAAAATGTATATAGTTGATTTGTACATTGGCCATTATTTTGTTCCAAGCATGGTCTATTAATTCAGGTATATACATACTTATCCGGTAGTGTACAATGGCCTATATATATCAGACTCACCTGTTTGTGTACAATGGCCCACAAGTGCCAGAACATTTCTGTGTGGAGGAACAACTTTCATTGCTGCTAATTCTGCCTCTAAGAACTTGCGGTCCATCTTGACATGACCCTCTGCAAGACAATAACAACAATTATTATCCTCGCCACTGACAATTCTCATAATTTCATCTGAGATAACATTTTATCCTACACTTAGTGTACTAATAGGATATTGTGACGATATACTCCGCTTGTTGATTTCCCACCAAATTGACTCTATTTGGCATGAAATTCATTTTGCAATGATATTATACATTTAGTACACTCCTTGTAAGTGTAGGATAATAAGAACATCCTTTGATTTTTTCAGAATATCACTTTAATCTACTCGGTGATATTGATATATGCACTCGTTCGCTTTGCTCTCTCGTGCAGATATCAATATCACCTGGTAGATAAAAATGATATTCCTCAAAATCATAGAACTCCCTATAAATCTCCATGAAAGTGTCAGCCTGCAAATAAGACATATACCTCGTTCTTTGTACATAAACTACACTGAAGGACTTGGCAAATTGCTTATGGTTTTTCTTGCTTCTAGTACGACTTAGTATTAATAATATTTATTCGTTGATCTTGAGATAATAGAATAATAACTTTTATTTTTTTATACAAATATAGAGATTTAAACTAACTATTAATGTATATTATACTTTTACCTTTAAGAAGTTTAGATGCAACATCTTTTGGTGAAGAATGTTGTTCATGAACCACACATCTCCACACTTGACTAAAGGCACCTTCTCCTATGGGTTCGATAAATTCAACTTGCTCTTGAGTGAGTTCCCATTGCTTTGGTAGGCTACTGTACATTGCATTATCCTGAAAGATATACATGAGAATAAATACTAATTCAAAGCATGGAGTGAGTTCCCAATTTGATTTGGCAAGATATATACTCAAAACTGTTTTAAGAGATAATTACTAATACATCCTAAATGAAGCTGTGTTAATTTATTTTGTTGCCTGTATTATTATGGGGTATTTAACCTCTTGACTACCCAGACTGATGAGATTTCTCGTCACCTAAGAAATGACCTTGAAATTCAGAGGGACGAGATAATCTGTCACTAAACTGCCAAAAGAGCTGGCAAAAATTCTCTGGTTTCAAACTGATTTTATAGTCTAGGATTCAATAGGCTAATTTATAATGACACAATGTGTATCTCTTGAGTCTATCAAAAACATACAGAATGAGAGGTTTAAATATAATTCAATTTAGTCGAGGACACATCGATTAAAACTGGAAAACAAACATTAAATAAAGTTTCAAGATTGATAACACTTACTGGAGTTTTAGGTCCCAGCTTTTCATATGTATTCCCATTTGGTGTCCTTGGAGTGGAGGGCGCTCTGTTGTCACGTCGACCACGGGGAGGTGGCTGAGGTTGCTCTTCCTTTTGAAACGCTGCATTATCATAACTCCTCTCATTTTGGGGAAGTTTAGTTGTTCCTATATCATCAAAGATATCAGTGTCTTCTTGAGGAACACGCAACTCAACGATTCCTTCATCTTTACCATCGGGACCAATGTCGCCATTTTGTCTCCTGTTAATTGGGGTGCGGTCTCCACGTCGCCCACGTAAACTGGTTCTGATACCAGTACTAAGTCTCCTAAAGCTAGCACGAAAATTGCGAGTACGCCCTGAAAATTGTGGGAAATGTTCATTAAACATACATACTTAAAGTAAGAAAATTAATGATTATGAATCAAGTATTAAAAATTAATGCAAAATCATCTATCTAAGACAAAAAGTCATATTTCTCATTGACAAACATTTGCAAGTTCACTTACTCATAGAATATTGGGTCACCCTGTCCTTAAAGTTGTTCAATTTCTCTCGCTTGTACTTCCATAGTAGGAAAAATATCAATGCCACTAGTAATATGAGGAATACAGCAATACCAGCAATTATAGCACCAACATTGACAGCTGTAACAGATATAAACAAATATGGTATTAGCACCACATGTCTGTCATGGTCATTGCACGAGAGACCATTGAATATTTCTCAGAATACCTGCATCATTCCCCTTAGGAGAACAAATTGCAATTCCCATAATTCAATTTATACAGACTAGATGTGGATGTTTATTGTTTAATTGAAATATGCATACATTATCTCATTATTCTTTCAGTGCATGCATTTGACTGATTCAACCAGGTTTAATGTTTTTTCTTTGAAGCAGGACGGAATGTAGTTCAATATTAAATATATACATACCAGAGGGAGGTGGAGGAGGTAGTTTGACAACAAAGTCAATTGTTCGTGATTTAGTTCCAAATGTGTTCCTAGCAGCCAATGTGTATTTGTTGTTCCCACCCATCTCACTGGTGATTTCTAAGAACAAAACATTTACAGACCATGTAATCGGAGAAACAGTTTTTAAATGAAATACTCGTTATTTTAATTTGTTGGGTTAGACATGCAACATATACTGTTACATACATGTAATTTACAACTAAAACTATACAACCAAAATGTTGTTCAAATTGATTCATATGGCAAATGCTTTATGAGTGACTCAATTTACAATGCAACAAAAATATCAATATCAATCAATTTAACTGAACTTACTGAGCATTTTCCCATTAATGGTCATTTAACTGAACTTTCTGAGCGTTTTCCCATTAATGGTCATTTAACTGAACTTTCTGAGCGTTTTCCCATTAATGGTCATTTAACTGAACTTACTGAGCATTTTCCCATTAATGGTCATTTAACTGAACTTTCTGAGCGTTTTCCCATTAATGGTCATTTAACTGAACTTTCTGAGCGTTTTCCCATTAATGGTCATTTAACTGAACTTACTGAGCATTTTCCCATTAATGGTCATTTAACTGAACTTTCTGAGCGTTTTCCCATTAATGGTCATTTAACTGAACTTACTGAGCGTTTTTCCATTAATGGTTGTCAAAGGATCTCCACCTGACACCTTTGTCCAAATGAATGATGGTGCAGGATTCCCCTCTGCTGAACATGTAATCTCATCATCAGGATCAAATTGTGTCACTGATGGGTTGTCATCAATTGGGTAGATTATGATATTCCTTACAGAATCTGTATAAGAGAAAAATTTATGGCACATTTAAATATCATTACAATTCCTACGTAGAATTGTTGGTGTATCAAAAAACATTGGGTTCAATATGAACATTTAACAGGTAACACTGAGTTCAACCATGTCGTCATCTTTCCAACAAATCTGGTCAAAAACAAACTTTAATCTAAATCTAAACAGGGTGTTTTTACATGGCATGATTTAATATTCAAATTTTTAAATAGTGCAGATACTGATTGCTCTACTGCTGGGAATCTTCTAAGTTGTCTTAAGCCTCAGTCACATTTGCTCTTCAGCCGTGCTTCACAAAATCAATATAGAAAACAGAGGTTTCACAAGAATTTCTCACAACAAACAAATGAAAACAACAGGCAAAATTAATGGAAATCATGAATTTAACATGGAAAAGTTGAAAAGTCCCTCAAAACAACAGGCAATTTTGTGAAAATAACCGGTGAAAATCGCCTGTTGCCTGCTGCTAATGAAACCTCTGGAAAATCAACATTGTACTGTTTATCCCTTTATTTTGTGCTGCATAATATGCTCTCGATTTTGGGTAGCTACGGCAACCGTACGGTTGCCACAGACCAAATGTGACTGAGGCATTACTTACATTTAACACCCAATGGGAGTGTTCTGCACTCATCTGTGAAGCTTGGGACATTTGAGACATCAAGTTTACAAGTCCACACCCTTCTGTCATATTCTACTCCAGCAGGAAAGCTGGAACAAACAGCAAAAAATATAAAACTTACCCTTTGCATTCCTTCGACTTCACTTCTTAAAAGAGAGCTTCGTCTTCAGTTTAACTAGACTCTGCACGCAGGGTATGTAAAACTTGAAGCATACAAAATTTTGAAATATGTTTTTCAAAAATTAGCTTGCCTGACTTAAACAGTTGTTTTAGTTTGATATTTAAAAAAACCTTTGCTGGACTTTAGTTTTAGAACTTTTTCCCAAAGATTTCAAAACAAAAATGGAGATGTTCTAATCATCAAATAATACAATTGACAATAAAAACACATTATTTTCTCAAAACCTTTATCTAGATTGATTGAGCTTATTATAATTTCAACCATTGGATTACATTCTGCATCCAAATCAACTTTCTTATTGTAACTTTACAATGACATCAAAAAATGTAAAATAAAAATCTTTACAGTTAATTAGTAAACCTGAAATATGTGGAATGGTAAAATCTTTTTCTCTAATCACCACAGCAATGTAGTGTAAAGTTTGGAAAACTCACCTTGTACTTTGTCGAACAAGATTAGATTCTTCACTGGGTGTGCTTGGCAGGATGTTAGAATCGTTCCAGTACCATGTTAGCGATGGTTTCAATGTCCCCCAAAACTGTGAGTCACACGTCAAAGATATAGTTCCCCCTTCATTTACTTCAATTGGTTTTACAACACAAAGGGGTGCTCCTGAAATAAAATGTATGAAGGTAAATAAGAAAAATATAGTTTGATATGGGGAATGAATCGAACCTTATATCCAAATTTATCAAAAATTAATGCATAAATTGCATCCTGGAATAATTTAAGGAAATTGTGATTTTTTGAAAACAGATATGATAGGAAGATGCTTGACTTTAAATTGTGGATCTTTTGAAAATTGGCAAATCAACAAATAAAAGCATGTACCAATTTAGAGCAATTTTAAGTATGTATCCATAACTTGGTTGGACTGAGTCTTAAGTCTTAAAGATTTCTTTCATTTTTTGACCATTGTCTCCCTTCAAACTCCTGAATATCCAACATGATGAGAATCTTCACCCAAATCATTGACAATATTCATCCAATTACAACAATGTTTCAAAATGTGGGTAATGAGACTATCTTTAGTACTTTTCCCAAGCTTAAATCACATCTCATATTATCAAAAGGTAGTAAAATGGCAAAATTGGCAAAAATGATAAATATTCTGATATGAAAGGCTAATTGACTTACTGATGACAGATATGTGGGCAAAATGGAAGTCTGTCTCACTGACCATCTTGCATCCATATTTCCCGACATCCTGATCAAGAACATTTTTGATCACAAGGCTGTATCTGCCCTCGATACTGTATCTAGAAATCAGAATATTCAAATAAATAGTAATAAGCAACAAAAAAAAAATTACAATGATTGAAAGTCAAGGGTGGATTGCCTTTTTTCACATCAGCCCTTGACGCAGAATTTCATTCTGTGTTTTCATTAACTTCATTTACTTATGCTTGTTGTTTTCACTATCATATTAATAACTACTGTTATTGAATACCTGAGTTTGTATATGTGAGATTCCTCTATTTGATTATGATTTTCTCTGGTAGCCAGAAATATTCTCGTCCCATCTACTGCACTAGAGTTAGTGAAATACTCCCGCCTGAAATTACAAATCATATGGTCAAACATGAGAGATATGATCATGTTTTCTCATATGATCAATATCAAAACAGATGGAATTCATGGGTTGATATCTATAGACAATTGGATTATAGAAGGTAGGGGTCAAAGTTTGTGTTATTTGGATGGGACTTATCCTTCAGGAGAAATGGATTCATCAATAACTAGCAAGCATTTCTTTTATAAATTAACACAATATTTTGATAATACAAGTGATTAGACAGTTCCTATGCAATATTCTAGAGATGTCACGGAACAAAAAAAATCAGAACATTTTGCTTCGAAACGGAACAATTTTGGAATGGTTCGGAACAGAGTGACTGCATGTATTAGATTAAAATAATTTGATCATCTAGGTCTAATTGGTAGCGAAAAGCTCTTCAAAACTCTTCAAAGAGAAGGAGTAAAAAGAATGAACCTCTTTTGATACAAAATATTGAAAGAAAAATACTGTTTTGTGGAGATTCAAGGGCCAGAAGTTGTGAAAGGGTAAAATGTTCTTGTTCCGGAACCGAAATTCTTAATTTTTGTTCCATGTTCCGTTCCGAGGGCATAATTCCATGGATCGGAACAAAATTGGGTATCCGTGATACCTCTACAATATTCCATTCTCAAATATATGAAAGATGAAAAGGGAGACAACTAACCATTCTACTCTCTGTGTACCATTGACCTCACAGTCCAGTTTAGTATCTCCCTGGTATTTGACAGCTGTATCCTGTGGGGCCTTCAGCAATGTGCCAGTGAACAGTTCTACAATGACATACATCAAGGTCATATACATAATCATTGTCATACCTGTTGTTCTTGTCATTATCATGACCATTTAAGTCATATATAACCACTACAAGTCTATCATCTTGAGGAGGTTTTCCATTGTTTCTCAGTTGAGAGTATTCTCATAATCTATCTATGATTATTTAATAGAAAATGATTAGGTTGACAAATATTAGGATACTCCTTGCTCTAAACCAATCAAACTACTACAATGATGAGAATGTGACCGAGAATAATATAGAGTAGCAAATCGACCCTTCATAACCAGTTATTCGCTACCTTTGCTTATCCTTTTTAAATTCTTTTGCACTCAATTTGCTAGTTAGGTTCTCAAATGCCAGAGTATACAAAAACTTGTATACAGTGAACACCTATGGAGGCACAAAAAGTGTTCACTGTAGGTAGGTGTTCACTACAGAGAAGGGCTTTACAGGAGTCGATGTAAAATCGTCTTGAAGTCATGGTGTTCACTAAACACAGGTGTTCACTAAAGACAGGTGTTCACTAAGACAGGTTTTACTGTACTTTGATTGTTGAGTACATACATTTATTGGACATAATACAGTACAAATTTCAAGAGTGTACAATCTTAGTTCTTACCATCCCCAGACCAGTATGTGAGGCTGAATCCAGTCTGATTGGACTGTATGTTATTAGAGACAAATCTGATGCGCATGTATCTTCCAGTGGTAGACACTTTTGTGTTAACAGGTGTTTTGCCACACCAGTTGACTATAACTGGATCATCAGCATTATTACCTAGAAATAAAAACAGAACATCTACAATGTTAGGAATATTTTATCAGTGATGTGTCTAATATATTTCAATTTGAATAAATCAGACTATAAATTTTCAGTCCCTTTATATCAAGTCTTGAATAAACTTATAAAAGTAATGTACACTTCTTATTTCAGTGTAATTAATAATTACATCTAAGGGGAGGGGGGGTAAAGTTCATTACATTTTGTTAGCTTTCCTTGATTTTCAGAAGAAAAAAATTCCATTGAAAAATGATATTTAGATACATTTTTGGGTCAAATGAATGGGTTTCGGTCTGAAATTATATTTTTCTGATTGATAAAAAATGATCTAGTCCTCCTTATTCAATTAATCACAGGATTTTTCTTTTAACTTTTGAATTACCATCTCTTATCTCTATGAAATCTGTGTCTCTGCAATTGTCTGATGATTCCATATCTATGAAGGTCAGCAGGACTATTACAGTGTCTGTCATAAGAGTAGCCCGTAATATCCATTCTTGTGTTAGATTTCTGAAAGAACATATGCACAATGAGTATGATAAAAATTATGTTGAATAATTCTACCCAAGATATTTACTTAGTGGTTGGTGCTTATAATTCTCACTTTTACAATATTAACCTGACCAAAGTTGGTCCAAACCAATTAATTTGGCATTGTTTTTTTTCTATAAGAGGGTTACATTAGCTTAATTGTTACAATATGTATATCATAATATGTAGATGATAAATGCCAATGTCAGGATAGAATTAATCAGATTAATATTAATCTGAATTAATGAAAATAATTAAGTACTGGTATGAAAATAAAGCAGTAGAAATCTGCTACCTGTAACTTTTGACTTACGCTGGATATATATTTGGGTAGTTTTGACTGGCTAATGTTCTATTTATAGTTTTGCTGGCCTCTAACACTGGAATCGGAATTGGTGGTGTCTGGCAAACTGTCACTGAAAAAGAACAGCATATTTTAAGGATTATACTATATCTCTGCAATTTGAGACAACATTTTTTGGATCGAGAGAATGTTTGCATATACAGTGGATTTTCTGAAGTGAGGATTTCCCATGTTAAAAATAAGAGAAGGCCATGCATCAGTGGATGAGAGTATACCAAATGTAAAATACTAAATACAAATTTTAGGTGACATGACTCAAGACAATATTGAAATCATATGGGCTTTCAAACCACTATGGCTTGGTTAATGGTGATGGAAAATCGACTAGTCATTTATTTATGGTCCTGTACTGTAGGCTGTTGTTTAGAATCTATTGGGATACGTAATATGTGTGTGGTTAGGGCCTTATTTAGACTTATTTTATTTAGAATTTATCTAGATGACAGAGATCATTTCTACACATTTGAAACCAATTTTTGTGTAAATTCTGAAACTTGTTCAGATAAGAGCAATTTTATAGTGAAAGATTTTGTGACTGATTTTCTTGTCACTTTAAGTTTCAAGGTCATTTCTGAGGTGACAAGAAATCTTGTCACTCGATCTAGAGGTTAAAAATGAGTGGAATCCATGGATCAAAAGGTCACGAAGGTAATTCATTTCAGACAAAAATATTGGTATTTTAAAGAAAATAATATGCATCTTTATCATGATTCAGGGGTTTCATTGGTGGCAGGCGATTTTCACCGGTTGTTGACAAAATCACCTGTTGTTTTTAGGGAGTTTCCAACTTTTCCACGTTAAGTCTATGATTTCCATTAATTTTGTCTGACCCTAAATGATATAGGAAAAAATAATTCATATCCCAATCTTGCTATTCTGGCCAGATAATACAGCACATGTCAGACCATCAAAAAATTAGTTTTCTAGAAGTGGAGCACCTTATTTCGCGGACCAATCAGATTGTGCAATGCAAACGAGACGCATTTGAATAGCCATGAAGATATGAAAGGGGAAATTCACCTTCATAACCTGGCAACTATAATCAGCTAGAGGTAGGACTTCCCACGGTGATGGAATCCGATGAAATATAACAAATGGTCATTGAAGTTGATACATGTATGAAGAAAAGAGGGTAAAAACCAGGCCCATGTAAAAACTAAACAACTCAGGACTGTTGAAGAAAAATCTGGGTTCAAAATTTTTTGATTCGATGATAAATAAACAAGACAAAAAGGTGTAAAGGTTGAAATCTGGTAAACTGTATTCAAAATATTCAAAAAATTGAAAATTAATTTCTTACCTGTGAAAAAAGTTGAGATCACTACTAAAAATAAGGTCCAAGACGCCATAGTTTTAGTTCTTGGTGTAGAAAACATTATGGAATACCGTTCCACTTGATAAAATGAGTCATTTTTCCGTCAGAATATTTACAATAGACGTAGGAAGTACTTTTTATCGCACCTTGTTGACCTAATTATGATATTTGCTGCGCGATTACACCAGGTAAGTTTTAAGTGACATCTATCAATCGGGTAAAACTATAAAAACACACTGATCAACCATTGCCCGTACAAAAACATCATGTGGAGATATTTGATAAAAGTCACGTTAAGCTCATTATATAAATGAACTTCTCCTACAAGCTGAATAACCGGGCTGAATAACAACTCGTAAAGATCCCCGGGGTTCCAATGAGTTATTTTCGTTCGGTACAATAAATCAATGTACCGGAAGTCTGCATATTAGGTATGATGCCTTTTCGATTTCTAATATATTTTCATAAATTACTACCTCATTGATGCTCCAATCATTAATGTGCGCTATTACTTTTGAATTTGAGTGTGTAGAGAATGTATATGATATTTATATATACTGAAGAATAATTGAGAAGAGGTAAAATAGCGTTCTTTGAAATGCATCATTCTTTGGATTTTCTTTGCAATTATTGCAAATTTATCACAGTCTATATGCAGTTAGTTAGTATTTGCACCCTATGCAGACAGAGCCTGTGGGAAATATTGGGTGCGGAGCAAATGAGCGGAGGGTGCGGAGCTAACGGTCATTTTTGAATTTAAATTTGGGATATTTCTGAAACTAAGCCGTTTTGGGACTTCAAATATACCAAGATATGTGTATTTGACACCAAATATCAATACAATTGTGAAAATTGTAGCGCAATTCATTCTATAGCGACGCAGTGTGCCTTAAACCTTTCCCAGACCTATATATTTTGAAATTATCCTTTTAATACTGAGTCCCCAGCATTCATAAAAAATGGTGTTCAAGGTACACTATCTATACAAATTATTTTTGCATCTTGGAAGCCAAGCAGTATCTGTGTGATTTTATAAAAATTCGGAAATTTTTTCAGATATGAGCCCCCTCTAAATATTGGGTGCGGAGGAGCTCCATAAACGTACCTTTGCTCCCAATATTTAGAGGGGGCTCATATCTGAAGAACATTTCCGAATTTTTATAAAATCACACAGATACAAGATGCAAAAATAATTTGCATGGGTAGTGTATCTTGAACACCATTTTTTATGAATGCTGGGGACGCAGTATTAAAAGGATAGTCTCAAAATATATAGGTCTGGGAAATGTTTAAGGCATACTGCGTTGCTATAAAATGAATTGCACTACTATTTTCACAATTTTATTGATATTTGGTGTCAAATATACATATCTTGGTATATTTGAAGTCCCAAAATGACCGTTAGTGTTTTGGAATTTTTGGTGAGGTAATAAGACCAAAACTCGCAATTTGTCACCTTATGTCGATCGATAATGGCAAAAGAAAATCCTCTAATTTTTGTCTTATCTCCAACAGTCTTCGTCTCCAACATTTTTATTAAACCAGAAATTTGTTCTCTTTAACGTCTGTACATAGACTATTTGAGATTTTAACAATTGGTCAGTTCTTCTGGTTGATGAATTTTGCCGTATGCATACATGTTAATAAAATTGGAATAAGGAAGAAATTCGCCCTGGTAGCTCAGAAAAGGTAAAATTTATCCATTTTTCTCTTCATAGTCCTTGTTGTTGCCACTTTAAATCCAAACTTGAAGAGAATAATCATAAAACAACAGCGAACATTCTGAGATTAATTTCAGTGGCAAATGAGGCCTGTTTATAAAATCAAATGTGCAAGTACCAATACCCGTCTTCGTGAAACCCCCCCTGCGCTCTGTTATATTCATTAGCCATGAAACTTCTATCTATCAAGTCTACTCTCAAAATTTTGAGTCAAATGCTTCATACAAAATCAGCATTCATTGATTGTATTTTAGAAAGTATCATGGGCACTCTTTATGATCCAAGAGCTCCCTCTGTCAGTTCATCACTTGTTTAAATAACAAAAATTGTCTTATTATTGCAAAAAATATCACTTTCATTAATCTACATTTGAAAAGTTAAAGAATAAAAGATTATAAAATTATTGTTTTTTGTCACTAGGAATCAGTTTAGGATTGTTGACCAGATATTCTAAAGTTCAAGATACAAAAAAGTAAGCACCTGGATTCCTATACCATTTGAATGTACTATTTTCACCTAAAATCTCTTGTTAATTTCCTATAATTCTTCCAGCCTAAACAATGACATTTAACCTCTGTATTGTGCATATATCAATCAATACTTGTCAATTATTTCCATTACGGTATCTAATCGGCGAGTGGGAGCAGGGTCAAATATGGAACTTTAATTAAGATTGACTGCAACCGCTCAAAACATGTTGTACTTTCATAATATTGATATGTAGATTCCAAATATGACAATGAAAAGTTTTGAAAAATGGCCCGTTACCATGGAAACGGATACAAAGTGCCACGCCCACTTTTCATTAGCCATAAAGAATGATAAACACAATATTGGCCATAACTCTTTTAATTTTTAACTATATTTAATGATATTGGTACCATATTGAAGGTAATAAAATGTCCCGTCACCCTATGTATTATTTAGTCGGTTTCAATTGTTTACCCGGCAATTATGACGTCATAATATCCTTAAATTCCCATTTTAGGGTATATTTAACGAATCGCTCCACATCAATGTCAATTAAATACCTTAGTGAATGTTCTTATCAAATAAAATAAGATTATTTTTGTTCACGTTAATGTGCTCTTTCCAGTGATACCTTTGATGTTACATAACACTTATACACTTTTGTTCTAGAGCCTCTTAAACCCATGGCTACACTATGGTAAAATGCTGAATCCATATTTAATAGCATTTTACTACAATTTACTGATTCTCTGTCTATCTGTGTGTGTATGTCTATGCCTGTTTGCTACCAAACCATTTAGACGTTGGAAAACAAAACGTGGCGCATATGTCCAGTATAGTACCCCCCTCGAATATAAAGTGGTTAAGAACTTGTGATGTCATCTTGTTGCCTAGCAACCACTTAGGAATTGGCCATTTTGCCCTAGTTTCATCATTGTATAGGCACTAAAACATCTAGATATGGAGAAAGAATCACCCCTCAGCATTGACACAACAGTATATCACTGTCTTTGTACACTGGTTATTGTGATGTCATCTGTGTTGCCTAGAAACCACATAGTAAATGTTCTAAAGTTTGCCAAAAAATGAGATAGTTCATTCAGTATTCTACCATTTACTCACAGGTTATGTTATAAAAACACTCATTTAAGATTAAGACACTAGTATTATAATCTAAGAAATACCAATGTGTGTGTTCAAAACGGGCACTCTGCAACAAAATAAAATGTACCTGCCTAGGAACCACCTAAAAACGGTCAAAAGCTGCCGAAAATGAGGTATTTTGTCCAAAACTATGTAATTTACAATTTATGCAACCACAAAACACATCTGAGCTTCATAAATACAATGTACAGGGCATCAAATAAGTCTGTGTTCCATCCCCCATAATTTTTTAATTTAGAACTATCATAGGTTTATCAAAAATCATCTTAAAGGGAATTCAATTTGCTGATCACACACCAATTTTCCGAATGATAGGTTACATTACAAATTTTTAGAGCATTTTTAGTGATGTCCATATTTCCCATTTTTAATAGTTCGTATGTTTCCCCCAAGCAGCTCAGGCAGTCTCAATTCTACGAGGATACGCTTCCAAAATGTTCACAAACAGGAGTGTTGCACTTTCTAGGCTTCTGGGAGCCTTTTGATACATTTGAGCAATGTTTCATGGCTATAAAGCTTCTCCTCTTGTTAGTCTTCAATTAATCTTTCGTCCCTGTCCTCCATAATTGCAGTATCAACTTTTCACAGTCCATTCACTATCCTGGTAATCTAACTTCTTTTGACGTAATCAATGGTCAACTGCAACCTTACAAGAAACATTGTAGCAATTTAGGAAGAGTTCATTTTTGATATTCTAAGGGTGATCAGCATTTTACATAACCTTTAAAATGATATATTGGAAAATATGATAACTTTCAAAATAAAAAAGTTAAGGTGAGAAAGACTCTACTTGATATAGGATAAAGCAGTTATGTACGATCGGTTTGGATATTGGGTTCATCCCTCGTGAGATATGCACATCTACCTTTGGTCCCTACAGTCCCTCAGGTAGATACGCATATCTCCCTCTGGATAAACCCCATATCCAAAACCTCCCAGTACATAACCCTTATATATTTAGGCATTGTGTAGTCATAACATATGCCTAGCAAACACATAGCAACGGTTCCTAGTCAACTCAGACCCTAGTTAACTCTGACCCTAGTCAACTCAGGCCCTAGTCAACTAGTACCAATGTATTTCTGAATCTTTTTTTCGATATTTTGAGTGTTAAAGTGAAAATTAATATATAAAAGCAAAAGTGATCATATATAATTGCAAGAGTCAATCATACATTCTAATTGTGAAATCAAATAGGATTAAATATGCCTAAAATGTAGTCACCAATAGTATGATTTTACATGAAGCTTTAATAATATACCCAAAATGTATTACAAACAATAAATGTTATTTTCAAGCTGTACCTTAAAACAAAAATGTACTGATATATTTCTTCATACTGCATATTGGAATTAATGTAGTACCTCTATATTTTGTTAACTTCAACACCCTGATTAAATGCTTATCGAAATAAAAATAGAATAGAAATCATAGTAAGCATTAGAAAATCATTTAGAAGCATTTAAAATCAAACCCAAGGCAAAATCTGAATAATCGATTTGATCAATCAAAAAATATCTTTATGAATGTGTCCGGTATGTGCTTAAATATGGTATGTATACTTGCGTTGATTGTTAAATTGCAACATAGGTAGGGTAAAGAATATGTCAAAGTCATTTGATCTCGTTCCAGAAGCAATATTTTGTCACTTGTATCTCCCAGAATACCTTTAACTAGGGTCTGAGTTAACTAGGTCCAAGTTGACCAGATACACCTAGCAACGGTAAAACATTTACAAAAATAATGTATTTTTGTCAGTATTATGGCAGCCATTTACTTTCACTAATTCACTAGGCATAGCTAGGTGGAGCCATGACGTTAAAATG